CTGGCTGCACTAGGCATCTGCAATCACCAGAGATGGCTTTCTTGTCCATACGTCCGAGCTTAAGGCGGCATTGTTTTTTTTTGTTTGTTTTTTTTCGCTGATTGCTGCCTGATTTAGCTGCAGAGTAATTATGTCATTAATTATTGGGAATTTATCAAATATGTATACAAAGAAGCTTTAGTGTCAAAAACATTTGAATTTATTGATCTGGAGGGTTCAACTGAGCCTCAGCATCCTTACAAAGTACAAGCTTCCCTCTTGCCGATATTGCGGCAAAATACTGCTTACTCTTTGACCAGTATTCATACACACATTAATACACATAAAATGCCATCTTTGGGCCGCAGAAGCGCCATGCTGAAAAGAGCAGACATTTAAAAGTTTGTGACATGTGTCGTACTACCATTGAGACACTGCCACTGATGTAGGTGGAGCTGACAGCATCCCAGCCATTGAAGATGGCTCTGGGACATACCAAGTTTGGTGTGTGTCAGCTCGCATTGTTGTCAGGATACATCCTAAGTGAAGTCGGAATATGTAAACAGCCTCATTAAAAAGGGAATACATATGAAACATTTTGGGTGGAGTGACGGGAAAATGTTCTTTTAAGTTTGCCCTCGCTCTCCTCAAAACTACAATGTGACAACAGATACTGTAGATCATTTAAAAAATGGAACATATTCTCCAATATGCATGAGTCACATGGAGTGGATAGTATTTACTCTTCATATATTTGACTGACAGAATGAGCTGGGTTCAACTTGTTCCTATGAGGTGCTGTCTGAGCATGTAGGAAGTCAAAAGTGTGTATCATTGTTCCAAATGGTCACACTCAAATGCAAAGTGAAAAAACCCGTCACAGTATCGTTTAGATATGGGGGATAACAACGCACATTTTCAGGCACTTTCTCCTTTAAAACAGTCATGGTGTTGCACTCATACGGAAAGTGCCAGAAATAGTTTCGTAACAAAGAACGTGATTGGCAGAGTCGGCCAATCACTCCCCGAAGTAGGTGTGAATGTAAGATCATCAGTTTCAGAAAAGATGGAAGAAATCGTGGGACACAACCTCCCACCCCCTCCCACCCCCCCTCAATCCGATGTCGGAGAGGTGTCAGTGGGTGGAGCCGTTCAATCATCCGACAAGCACCTCTGATGAAGCATGCCGGTGTGGATTCAAGTGTGTTTGAATGTTCAGTAGATAATACACATAATCTAACAAGAGCGATTTCACAATTAGGGGCTTGGATTCTTTGAGATAACTTGATTCAGGAAGAAATGACACAGAGTGAAGCGTCCCTATCTAAAGATCCTCACTGGAGAGGAAGACTTTTGCGGTTGAGGTAGCCGAGGAGTCTTATTTCTGGGCCAGATTCACATTAGTGACATTTATCATGGAGAGGGAAGATGGTATAATTAGCTTGTCAGTCTACTTTAGGCTGAGCTAGTGCTCTTTGTGAAGAAGAATGGACTGCAAGCCCAAGGAGCTGACAGCCAGTCGATAATGTGGCAATTAATGTCATAAATAATTCCAAAGCCAATTATATTAAAATGGACCTCACACTCTAAAACAGCACTTTATTTCCTATCATTTTATGATGTGTTCGATATCAAACAGCAGGAGCAGATTTTCCTCTTTATTTCTACATATGGCCGGCATATGGCGGAGCCATAATGTGAGGCATAAAAATCAGAAGGGCCATGCAGTAGATTTATTTCTTGATTTAGTTTGCCTTTGACTTACGAATGTCTTCCTTATTGCTGAAGCATCACCCGCGGTAAAAAGCAAATACAAAGTGTAAAACCACTTTTAATCAAAATTATATTGCCTCCATGTTGCTAGCTGTATAAAATGGCTACAGCTCATAAAGAATGTGAGTAATTTAATGGCAGTAGTGGTTAAATATATCAAATGCTCCTTCTGGCCTTGGGAGGGTCAAGCCCAGTGTGATATATAGAGAAGACTGTGATGGCTGAAGGTCGTGTCAGCTTCTTCTGCATAATGCATGAATCCTGTAACTCTCTCTGACTCCAATCTTCTGAACCTGAACCTTGGGATGAAAATTTTACTAAGTAAATCAGCGAGCATGCTGGCATTTCTATTAACCTCCAGTGTGGTGCTGACAGAAACGTGAATCACAGTAAATAATTTCTTGCAAATTGTAAATCATGTTTACAACTTGGGCTGAGAAGTGATGTTATGGGATAGTGCCATCTGTTTGCTGTTTGTTACTGCTAATTTCTCTGCACGGAGGCAAAAGAGAAGGTGATTTGAATGTGCCAAATTATAATTTCAAATCGGGAAAGATCTCATTGCTGGTGCTGAAACAAATTAAAGTATTTATTTCTTAAAACATCCCATAAAAATATTTTGCACTTGACACAGATGCTACTTTATTACATATTAAAGTCCATATACTCTATGATAATGCAGGTTAGATTTAGTTTTTTGATGAGTGGTATTTCCCACTTCAAACATGGAAATAGCCAGGAGCTTTGATTTATGCATGCATGGAGTAAAACAAAAGAAAAGGAAATGTTGACCTTTACAGGGAACATAAAGGGTCAGTGCGGCAACTGTGCCTTACAGGCAAATTGCCTCCCAGTGCCGGTGATCTATCCTTACAACAGGGATGAAATTCTTATCTTTTGCCATTTGTTTTTTTGTTTCTCTGGTAGAAATTTGCAGAGGCACAATGTTTTTTCTCAGTGTACAGGTCACCTTGCAACAAATATAAGAAAAGAGGGAACAAATGAGGCTGTAGGGACGGAAATGTTAACAGCAAAGTTTTCCTCTATTTGAATCAGATTCAGAGAAACATTCACGTGGTAGCGCCGAGGATCTTTACTTTGTTTAAAATACTGCGTGCAAACCTGCGAGCTCTCCTGCCCTCCTTTATTTCTGTATCAAAGGGTAAACTAATGCAAAATGTATATGGCCCTTGGCACAAAAGATGGTGGTGCGGCTCACTACAGGAAGATCTGTGTGCTAAAAGCTTGAAACATCTGTGTAAACACATGGCCTTTTTCCAACCATGTAGACAATGTTCTCATAGCCTTAAGATAGATGTCCGAGGCAATATACCTCGCCCCGGGGCTTTGAACATCTGAAAAACCTTGAGCTTCAAGCAATATCCACTTTTAATATTCCAACTTGATGGTATAGAAGTATAGAAGAATTTAACCTACGGCTTTTGTTTGACTCTTGTTGTTCTAAGCATTGGATCTGTCGCACAAGTGCTGAGTGGAAATGTGTTTTTTAATGATGCAGTGATATCTTAAGGTTGTTTTTTTTCTAGCAGATTATTTTCAAATTTAGGGGATTTTTATAGAATAGGGTTTGGAAAGGCCGGGCAGACAGAACAAAAAAGAGAGGACCTTCTGCCTTTGTTGTTGTTCTTTAATTCTGTTAATAGCCCAGGGTAAAGATTTATCTGCTCTTGTCAATTTACCTCAGCCTCAATATAAAGCACCAAGGTCACTTTTTCCTTGCCTGGCCCACAGGATTAAATTGTCATGTCCCTCTAATAGGCAGCACAGGGAATCATTAGTCCAGCTCAGCTGCCTGACTGATAGGCATTTCAGTCCAATCATGGGAGTGTGCCGCCACAGGCCAGCCAGTATTGACACTGTGTCAGGACTGAGAGGGGACGCCTTAATCAGCCAGGACACTCTCAACATTGATTTGACAAGCTGCCGTAATGACCCCCTTGTTTTGGTAAAGGATCACTGTTTATCCAGGCTGGCATTGATGCACTTGGAGTGTTGCATTGTCATGGAAACTATTATCACCAGCCAAGTCTGTGCAGCTGGGCAAGAGTTGTCTTTAAAGGGGGGACTGTGGATTTGTGTGTGTGTGTGTGCGAGTCTATACTTTAACAACCCAGAGAAATTTTACTTACCCGGATATTTTTTTGCAAGCAGAAAGAAATTTGCTTTTTCAGAAGAGATGCAAGTTAACTTATCAATCAATTGAAATCACTGCATAGTCCATAGAGTGAATATATATAATAGCCCATTTCATAGTTAATATATCCTGTAATCAGTGCTGTTTTTTAGTGTGGTAGCTACATGTGTTTATTACTAAGAGATGACACTGGCTGGCAGGAGGATCAGGGAAATCAGTGGCCTCTGTGCGAGGTGTTAGACTATAAATATTATTGGCATGCTGACCGTCTCCCACGGCGCCATGGTGTGTAAAATCGTTAACAAGCAACATGATGGGCCCTCTCCATCCCCAAGGTGAGAATGTGGAGAGTGTTTTTATCCGCCATTATCCCGGGGGTGCAACGAGGTGTCCCATGTCACATGATGTCTGGTTATCAGACTGTGCCTTCTGTGGTCATCACAGAAGAAGACTTTATATATACAGTCCCTGTTTGACAGACAAATGTGTAACATGTGGCTTAGAGCTGCTGAATCGTCGTATTTTCTGTGCTGAGCCTCGCTGTGTGTCCATTAGAAAATAAAAGACCTGACATACTGTAGAACACAATACATCAGCTTTTAATTTGTGAAAATACAAAATGAAATCATGTACAATTTATGTACAAGCCTATTTGTACAAGACAATAAACTGTATTTATTATTGGGTATTATGACATAGTCAGAAATATCAACTTAGCACTGTCATTGTATCCACAAGTCAATGTGCTAAAAGAAAAATGCACAAAATAATACAAACTAGACTGCAATGCCGAATGTCTTTCAACCCCACAGGTACTGGCAAACAAGAATATCTCAAACAAGAATACACCAAAAAGAAATAGTTTACATTAAGCTTTACAGATTTCTTTGAAGAGTACATAAAATGAATTGATATCAGGCTCTGCTTGATGATGGATCATTTAAAAAAAGTTTTAAGACTTTTCAAATTATCTACTACAGTGCGTTTTTTTTTTCTTTCATCTCCAGGGAATTACAGCCTCATGTTAAGAAATTCAAAAACTTTTCTTTTTTTTTTTTGTTTTTTTTGAAGAATGGTTTCTGAGCTGGCAAGATGGAAAGCAAAGAGGAAAGTACATTTCTCAGTTTCACAGCAAAAGTCAATTTTGCTCAAATCCAGCTAAACTAGAAGCCTCTTTTCGCAGCAGTGGGTCTTCTGGAGTCCTCCGCTGGCTTCAGCACTGCCTGGCACATTACTGGCACTGAGGGGTCGATGGCTTGGATGTTCCAGGGCCAGTAAAAATGTCACAACCTCGCTCTTTTTACATCCAACGCGAATCTTTGGCTAGACCGTGATGCTTCTTCTGTAGATTAAGGATTTTTACGGATTGCTTGCTTTTTTTTAAAGTGACAACAGCACCAATATAGCTTTGTTGTTATTCAGATAAGACATGATTAATAACCATTCTTAGCTCTCTATTCTGGCCTCATGTGCTTACAAACTGAAACAAATGATAGAGGCTTCATCAGATGTGTGTACATTGTTTGTTTTTATGGATATATCAGATATGCAATCGATCACCAAGATGGTTTACCAACAGAATAGAATCTATCGGAACATATAAATAGCCAAAACCCCTTTTTTTTTAATGATAGAGCTGTTTTTCATGTATCTACAAAAAGCATGAACATGTCTGATTATGGCATTAAGATTGGTCATGGAGTACAATCAAGCGCTTAATGGCCTCCAAGACAATCCTGTGTCAGGCAGTGCTTACAGCCAATGGAGGACTTAAAGATGCCCACTTCATGCGATATGTGGCTTTCACATTCAGCTCACTTACAGACTTATTATATGGCGCCAAGCTATGCGGTAGTATTTGGCTTTGCTGTCTATGGTGTCATTAGTATATGAATAACTCTGCAACTGTATTAGAAACTGTTTAAGATTTTTGGTTATATTCTAATGTTGCCAGCAAAACAGCTCTATCATGTTTGGCTATTGGGGTTAAAGAAGAAGAAAAAAAAAAAAACGTTTTACCCCTGGAGCAACTTTGCACATACTTAAAAGCTTTACTCAGTAAGATTTCTGGGTTTTTAGGACATTGCAACCGAACAGTGACATGAAAACATTTATAACAAAACGACTTCAAAAAGGCGAAGATAAGACAAATATAAATGGATAAAGATAAGGCTGGAGCCAAATGCCATTTACACATGGACACTGGCCATTGTAACTGTCACAAATGTTGTGAATTAGCTCCAAATGGCAAAGGAATCACTGAGAGTCAGTCATTAACAATGCCATTGTGGTGGGATCGCAGCTGGATGTAAAATACACATTTTAACATACTGTACAGAATAACTCTGCAGCACTGGGTAAGGTAAATGCAGTAATTGTAGTAGTTGTTCATCGACAGCTAAAAAGGCAACTTTTATAATTGCAAAATTTGATCCAGTAATCATAATAATCACCTCTTTTAGTGATAGTAGTCATTTTTACATTGCTCGTCTCCTTCAAGTGACCCTCATTCCCCAGAATGGAACAAAAAAGTCATGGAGTCTGGTCACCACTAAAGATTAGCTGTGCAATCTAATAGCTGAGTGGTTGCGACACTTGACTATGATTGTCTTTATGAATATTTCATGTATGACTGCTTGTACAATAAGCTTGCTGCAGCGGTGAATAAGCTAAGCAGTTTGTGTTCGTGTCATCTAATGTCAGCTGATGATTTATGTTTGCAGACGAGGAGACATCCTGAATCCCAGCCCGACACCTACACGATAAGTCTTCTGAGAGTCCGAGCGTCCAGGTGTCGGCGTGGCTCCGGAGCTCAGCACTCGTCTTCTGCTTCTCTGATGGGTGGAATCAAGCTGCTTGTGGATTTACACTGACTGACTTGGTTGACGGCGAGAGTATTCACAGGCTTGATCTGTATGGTCCTCAGGTGGGTATTCTCTTGCTCATCTGTAAACCATGTCTTTTCTGAGAAAGAGCCAAAATCATATAGAGACAAAGAGGAGGGACATGAGACAGTTAATGCTACATGGACATCAATTACAATTTCAGTGTCACCAGTTTGTTTGGTTTGTGTTTTAAGAGAACACAGAACATTGGGAGGACACTGTACATTTGAAAAGAAATTATTGTTTGAATTGATGGTGTAGAAAGAAATTCTGACATGATAAAAAAAAAAGCTCTGAGGTGGAGTTTTAATGGCAGGTAAGTATCATTCATTGTCCCATTGTCTCAGTTTTCACCTCTGTAATGTCACTCATCAAAATGTTTTTCATATATACCATACTGCCATGTAAGCATGCCGGTTTGTTGGGTCAGTAGACATGCAGGTCACCACTTAAACAACATCTGTTTTAATACTTCACTCTACTAAATTAGAAGCTAATACTTTTAACTTCACAATTCATACATGAGTTTTTTTTATTTTTTTTATCTTTTTGAGGGGCTTCAGGCTTTTTGGCTTGATGCAACTTTCTTTTGTTATAGAAGGAAATAGATAGTCTGGCATAGTATATCACTGGTGATTCATCCACTTGGCAATGTCCACGGTCATGCATTTTCATCGACATGACTTGAGGCTGTGGTGCTGCAGTGCATTAACGCATATGCCAGCAGACACAAGTTGCCAATAATAAAACATCAAACACGACTTGATACAGAATAAAGTAGAAGTAGCATCAAGCCATTCAGTTGCAATCACACAGTCAAACCTACAGTGAGAGGTACTGCATAGGTCATAACCATGCGCTCCTGATGCAGCCATTTGGGAACACCAAACTACTTGGCTTTCATTCAGAGGGCAAAATGTCAGCAAGGACATGACCGTGTTCAATGCATTACTTAACATCATGCATAATCATTCATAACCATACCTTGGCCCACTCTATTCATCCTTGTTGCACTTTGGAAAAAGAAAGTAGTAGACTAAATGTAAGCTAAATGGGAAATACTAATATGACCATTAATAACAGAAACTGCACAGTATGATGATCAGAGGCATAAAAACAGCAGATGCTCTCATTACATATGGATGTAGAGTAGGTTAATCAGTGGGGTGCGACCAAACAACTCAACAAAAAGTAAAGAAAAACAGAACATGTATCATGTCAGAAAATCTTTTAAGTGCCATTACTATTCATATCGCCACTGTAGTATGTATCAAGCAGCCATACTGTATCCATGCCTATTGCCAAAACAGTTGGAGGATGATGTCCATGTTTCAGATGTAATTCAGAACCCAAAGAGCAACATGCAGCTAACATACCAAATGTGTTATATAATGTAGTTTGATATTAGCACAAAACAAGAGGGCTCAGCAACTTCATGTCAAACATAAATGTATTTCTACAAAATATGCAATGTAAATGAATTTGTTTTTTCTAGCACAGATTACTAACCAGAGAAAGCCTGTAGTGTTCATTCAGCAGCTGTGAAAATGTAACATGTGCTCATTCATTATTTTAGAGAGAATATTTGAGTATAATATTTTCTCATAGAAACAATAGTATATTAGAAAGTACTTAGAGAACGCATACCTCTGCCAATTCTGCAAAATCCTCTAAATATGTTAATAACAGAACATGTTTATATAGTTGTAATTTAAATACACATGATGACAGACAGTAATGTTTATCAACTCAAACTTACATCCTGTCTGGGAATACTATGGCTCCTTGTACACTGTAATGAGTTATGGTAATTTCAATTCATCATGCTTTTGTATTGCCAACCATAGTTAACATAGCATGCTCCTGGATTGTGGTTGGATTCTCTTATTTTCTGGAGTTGTTCAGGGTAAGAGGTGACAGGTGTATTTGGGAATACTCATGAACTGCAAGCTGAGCACTGCTGTGTTGGAGTTGTCCCCAAAAATGAAACGGTTGCCTTTATATGACTGCATTCTGCAAAGATGAAGGCTCAGACTGTTCTTTGTGTGTTTGCAACTGCAACAGTTTGCAATTTCTAGCCCTCTTGGAGTCTCTGGTTCTGTTCTCACATAGGGTGCCACGTATTTTTGCTGGGGGATCTAGATTGGGTTATTAGAAGGAACTGCTCGCCCGATCTAAACTTGGATAGTGCTTTGTTATTGGACTTCTGTGCTGGACTGTCCATAGCAGAACACGTTTAAGCATTGGGTTGTAATTGGATGTGGTAACAGAACACCTTCGACCGAATCCAATCTTGAGGCACGAGAGTTGTTGATGCTTGCTTATTTGTCTCAGTGGATTCCTGAATGGACAGATAGGCATTGTTAGGCCAGAAGGACTGAAGCTTCTATAGTTGCAGGTGCACAGATACAGGTGTGGGAGGAATTTAGGGAGACTATATAGAGGGTCTCAGAGAGCTTCTGGTGAACCATTAGACAAGTAAGGGACTAGTCTCAGCAGGAGAGGAGAATAGCGTACCTTAACTGTGGCTATTGTTGTGCTGTGGAAGGAACACTTGGAAGAATTCACAAACCTACATGAAGCACTGGAGAAGGCAAACAAAAAACTCTGCTCTGAATATTGTTGAGGTGTCTTGGACACACCTGTTCAGTGCCACATTGCAGTCTTGGAAAATACTACATATATTTTGGTAAGGTGGCCTTGATAGATTGTCAAACCTCAGATTCAGTAGATGCAATGTGGATTCCATCCTGGTCATGAAACAACTGACAAGCTCTTTACTTTGGCAGGAATACTGGAGTGGCCCTGGGAGCTTACCTATCTAGGCTACATGTGTTGTGTAGACTTTGTAAGGTTCATGGCCGTTTCCCTTGTAGTGGCTTGCGGAGTTACTGATTATGAGATGCTCGGGCTCTTACTACAAGTGAGGGCTGTGGCAGTATTTTCAGTGATAGATCAAGCGTGATCTGCCAAACATGATTTTTTTTGGTTGTCATGGAAAGACTACATGTGCAGATGAGACAGTCTAGTTTGATGACTTATGGACAGAATCTGCCTTTGCAGATGATACAATTCTGTTTGCTCTATTGACCCCATGACCTTCAGCACATAGTGGGGCAGTTTGTAGCAGAATGTTTAAATGTGCACTTGCTCATTATCATTCTCTGATAAAATTGTAATCACTGGTAATCTAGCAAGTAAGAATAACCACGTTGTTAGGTAGCCAAACATTAACAAATATAAAATAACACTGAGATGTGACATTAACATGTGAAGACAATGTAATTATAATGGTGGTGTAGCTTTATTAATAACTGTAACATTTGCTGCTTGCAGATATCTTGACATAATTAATACCCCATATGAGTAAAATATAGCATTTAAATGATAATGGAAATCAACAGGCATTAAGATGACATGGTGTTCAGTATTTCATAGACATGACAAAATGTGAACTTTTAAGACATGTCATATAAAGTGCAGTTCAAGTACAATACGGTTCAGCTTTTATTCAAACAAGACAAACACAAGTTTCAACAGAGCAAAACTTGGAATGCTTTAAGATAGAGAGACCCGGTGATCATTATCACAGAGGTGAGAGTTGTTAACACAAGTATAAGTAAAACTACAGGGTTTGAAATGTCTGCCAATTCCTCCTCTCGGGACATATTCTGTTCTTATTATATATTGTGATTTGGCCCATATCAAACATATAAAAAATACCTCCCTTCACATTTTAACCAAGATAGCATCATCTCAAACTTGAAGAGTTTTAATCACTTGTTGGAGTTGGCCCTGTGTGTGCAGGTAAGAGCACCACAGTGAAAACAGCAATGAAAAATTTAAACAATGGTGAAGACGGTGAACCTAAAGTAAACTAAACCTAAGTATGATTTAAAGTAAATTCAATAAAACCAGGATAAGAACCAGGTCAGCAGTTCATTGGAAACTAACAGAATTCATCATTGCACTAGTCTACATGTATATTTGTCTCAAAGTGCATTATAAACAAAATTGATTCAGATATCTTGCTTTTAACTGCAGAGGGCTTTTGGATAGGTTTCTAACTATCAAAAATTTGTCCTATGGTGAAAATTGAGAAAAAGTCTGTTAAATCATGACAAATATTACCTCAGTACTCAAGAATAACTGCATTACTTAAAAGTGTACTGTAATTCTTGGCATAAAAAAATTTACAAGAACGGAAAATTCACAACCACAGTAACAACCAATGGATGGAAAGAAAGGAAAGACAGAAGCCCTTTGTGGTTTCTTACTTTGCCCTTTGCCATGGGATGGCCCCGCTCAGGGGGCAACTGTTCTGTATTGCATGTTGCTATTGAATGCAAACTAAGACATAAAAGTACCACATACATACACATTCAGACAAACATACACACATAGCCAGCCAGACATGTTACAGTCTGTCTGGACCCTGCAAAAGGACACACAGGACAACACTGTTGGCAGGCACTGTTCAAGGACATACAAAGTCAGAGAGCTTTAGAGGGGCACATACTTTTGTTTGTCTCGTGAGTCCCTGCTTTTGGTGCGGTTGGTGCGGTTGGTGGTTGGGATAGAGTGGACGGAGGAGCTCTTTTTGCTGGAGGAATGGGACGAATGGGAGGAGTGGGAGAGGCTGGTTCGAGACTGGCCGGCGTTGTGGTCAAACTGCATCAGGCAGAATATCAGGTCTGAGGGCACCAGCTCAAACGCATATGGTGGATTGGTTATGACATACCTAGAGGAGAGAGGGAACAGATGGGGGGGCCAGTTCTAAATATAGTTTAGGTAGAAGAGATTTTTTTGACAAAGCCTTATCTTTTTGTGGATCCCAGTTTTGAGCATATAATTTCAAGGACACATTTGGTCCGTACTCACCGTTTGGTACATTGGCTTTGTGTGTTTAGATGTGCGTCTCGTAACCGATAGATGCCAAAGCACAGCATGTTGTACGTTTTCAGGGCTTTACAAAACAGGTCACCATAACAACCCCCATCCTGAAAGAAAGAGACAAAAACACAGTGTAGTACACAGTCTGCATTTTAACAAAAGCAACGCTAAAAATAAATCATCATAATCATTTACATGGACTTAATATACCTCCAGCGTTAAAAATGAGTCCTGAACTGATCCCTGTTTGTCTGTTACAGATGATGATGGTGATAACCCTAAAGGCTCGGCTAATTTTGCAGTGCGATTAATTAATTTCAGTGGAATCGACCAGTGGGGCAAAACCAATCAGTGTGAAGCTTTGGTGAACTTTGACACATAAATTTCCATCATTGGCCAAAAGAAAGTTGTCTTCATAGTGCTGACCTTTAAGGGAATAATAGAGGGGTGGGGAGAGAGAGAAAGCTATCTCAGGTTATTAGTTGTGTTGTACCATCCAGTTTTATTTAATCCTCCTCTGTCTGAATATAAAGTGCTCCAAATGCGCATGTTTTTTTAGACAGTTATAGGACCTGAGTCAGTGTTCTTGGATAAACTGTGCTAAATTCTTTAGAGCTAATGATCTGCAATTTGTAAGATAGCTAGCTTGGCTTAGTTTTTTCCCTCATCGTCCACGTTCTACTCTGTGCTTTCATGGTGTTCTTGTCTTTGAAAGCTTAATTTTTTCTTCTGTTGACATAGAGCTAATGTGACTAAGCTGTAAAAGACATTCTTCCAGAAGCATTGTGACTTGTCTACATGCATTTTGGCAAATTCCAGTCAGGCTTTTTTTTTTTTTTTTAATCTTTCTCTAAGTAAGGCGCCTCTGTTCAATCTGGGGTCAATTTTCCTCTTGCAGCCACATTCAAGGTTGGCTACGGTCCCATGGACCTTAAACTTCTTAATAATATCAGCAGCTGTGGTCACAGGAACATTAAGTTGCTTGGAGATGATCTTATAGTCTTTACCTTGACCATGCTTGGGAAATATTTTCTTCCTTATCTCCTCAGACAATTCTTGTACACAATGATAGCAAACATTTTCTCCATTTCAATGGGCTGAATGACTGTTTATAAGATTGAAGATACCTGTGAGACTAACAGACAGACAATAGTCTGCTTGAAATATCACCCCTTCTAAGTATCAATAATTTTGGCCATTTTAGAAGATCTTTGTAGAATAAGCAAGAATTCAGCTCATTTCACACCTTCACTGTTTTATTCTGTGGCAGAGCAAAGGCATGTAGGTATGCATGACAAATGAGCTTTTTATTTCAACACTTTACGGAGCATTGCTTTATTGAAGTGCAAGGGCACCAACACACATTAATCATGTAAAATGATTTTGTTTTTACTCTTAATTATTGTAACTGAAAGCCTTCTAAGGCCATAAACTGCAGGACTGTAGAGTATGAAATGTAATAAATGCCAGGATTTTGTTCACTAAATGTATTTATCTGATGGTGATTCATTTGGATTAGTACTTTTATTTCATTGACACAGAACACAAAATCCTTGTTACTCATCTGAACTCTGTGTCACAGCTGTGATAACAGTCCCTGTTAATCTGAATCCTTTCAGTAAAGTCAGCTCCCACAATATAAGCAGACAAAGATATGCTCAGCCCTTGGGTGACAAGACCAGTCACTTACCCCGAGGTCAGCAAAGGGCCCGTCGTACAAGGCCAGCTGTGCCACGCGACACCTGTCCCTGTTCGCCAGGGTCTGTGGCGTGCTGTAGCCACCCCGTAACGCATTCTCCTCCGCCAGCAGCCCCTCCAGCTCCGGGGTCGCCCCGCCTGTTACCAGCGTCCGGATCAAGGTGAGGATATTATCATTGAAGTATGTCTGAAGGAATGAAGGTAGAGGGGGGTGAGTCCTTAAGCAAACGCCAGCAAAGTCACAACTGAACCTTCTCAAAGTGCCAGCCAGCCCGAATGGTGCTATCTAACTCTTCTCTGTCACATCACATTGCTCTCTACACTGAGTGAAAAGACAGGAGAATCCAATTACTGCAGGTTACTCTCACTCGCATCAGAGAGAAACACAGGAAGTCCGTGTACACATTTGTGCTGTCGTGCTGTCCAGGCAATTCCAACAGCTAAATAGCAGATTTAAAAAAATCAGCTTTACAAACTGCGTGTTAAGCCAGAAGATACACTTTCCTTAGTGTAGCTTTTAATTCAAACCCGTTTTTGCTTTGTTAATTTTAACAAGGGCAAATGTCTGCCCTTTTCTTTGCACTGCAGTCTCTTGTCTCCCCCTGCTTGTACAGCACAGTGACATCTCCCTCGGCTGCTGACAGCACTATTGACTAAGATGATGGATGAGGGCTGTCCATTAGGTAGCATTACCTTTGTCTACACTGGAGCGCACTTGAAGGCAGCTTTGCTCTAACCTCACTCAAACTGAAAGGCAGACAAATGAAGCCATCATACCTGGGACAAGTTCCAGTCATGTCATCTATTGTTTTAACGAGAGCAGAGTGCCCCTACATTTTTTGTGAGGGGACCAGAGGTATTCTGCTATCTGCCCTGATATCAAAAACACAACATTTCTTTGCATATTTCAGATCACTGACAGATATATGTCATCACACAAAAAACTCTATCATAATCTCTTTATATCTACAGATTAGTGCAAGCTAAATCAATTCTGACTTACAGCACTCATTAAGGAATCCAGCACACTGACTGCGAAGGCTGTCCCACAGGCAAAAGGCTGAGTGAGGTACAACTCTGTGTCCGGGTCGTCATCGTCATCTTGGTCCAGGAACTGAACATTTGAGTCATTCACTATGGGGGTAAACGTACATCTAATTAGTTATTCAAATTCTGCTTGTTTTGTTTTCTCCACACTAAAACCAGATCTCATGGAGTTATTGGTGGTTTGAAAAAGCATGGATTGTGTGCTTTGGCATACATCAGGCAAATACTTGACTGACGTGAAGAGGAGGACACAAAAGTACAGTGGTTATGCACAACAGTCAGTAGCTGCAGATATGGACTGTTTTAGAAATCTGTGTTCAACAAATTCTATTTCACTACTTAGTTCTGAATTTGGACAAAATTGTGGTTTTCTTTCAATCAGCTGAAGTAAAACTGTGTCTGGTATTTGTGTTTGGCCTTGTGACCAACTTGCCTCTGCCACATTCCATATCCAGGCCATTCATGCACAATCATGACACCATGCATATTGTCAAAGCTCCAGGCCTTGATTCAAAGTCTTCCTGAGGTCAATATCAGTAACACCAATATGCCATTGTTTGTCTTGTAAATCCAAGACAGAACTTCCAATTACTTGTTCTTGCATGTCAAAACAAATGAAAGTATCTCATTGCCCCAGAACCTTCTTTGAAGATGTCTTTGAGCACAAAAACACATGCAGTAGCTGGAAGAAAGTAATGATGTAAAATTTAGTTGGAGAACTGCTACTTCTGTGAGGACAGAAATAAATGTCAGTCATATCGACAGGGCTGAGATGAAAGAAGGGCCAGAGAATGTGATCCGACAGAAGATGCTATGAAAACAGCCACAAGGACTTCTGAGGGATCAAAGGCCTTGTAATTCTTAGAAAAATAAAAGGGAAAATTTTTGCTTTGAGAGAAGGGGCCAAAACAAGACAGGCAATTTCAACCAGAACCAAGGGTAAAATGTGCTCAAAGTGATGCTATGGGAATGGACTGAGCCTCTTGTGCAGCGAGAGAAATCAAAAGAAAGCTGATATGGAGGCAGCAGCAGTTACAACACTGCAGTACAGGACAGAGGCACTTCTTACCAAGCTCAGTTATCATTTGTATGCTGGTCCCACTGCTTTTATCCTGACTGAATGAAATCACAGGCAGTTTTTTGCCTGGCTTTGCTAATGGTGCTAGACAAGTGTTGAGGAAAAACAGTTACTGGAGCACATCAACAAGGGACAAAAAAAAAAAAACAAACATAAAAAAAAAAACTCAACTTTTAGTACGGTTAATCAAGTGTTGACAGCTTCTAATTGCAGAAATTGTGTTTTCAGATCTGTTTACAACTACTTAACTGAAAAAACATCCAACAGTAGAGCTAATGTATCAATCATCTGACACTAAATACAGAAGCAAACATACCTAGTTCTGTTATGATGGGAATATTTGCTCCAGTTGTGACAGAGGTCTGCCTTACTAATCCATGGACTGGGCTGTTTTCAGGAGAAGATCTATCCATCCCTGGTGGTGTGAAGCCTAAATGGATACACACATAACATGAAGCACACTCTATTAATGCAATATTCAATACTTCATCAGAGGCTACAAACAGGCACATCAGCAGAACTAATACACTGGGGCTATTTCATCCATTCCTGGCTACTGCTAAAGCATAAAGTTGCTGAGTGTGATGTTACCGTATTCTTGACAAGGTCCAATATTAGTCTATATATAATAAATGTGACACACTGCTCATTTTGTTTCCCTTAGACTGTGTGTGCATGGAGACGGAAACCTTTTACACACACACACACACACACAAAGAAAAGCATGTACAGTATGGAGCCATGAAATAGAAAATAAGTGACGCAAGATTGAATTCAGATTGACTTGACATTCCTTGCTTTCCTCAGACTGACAAGTAAGCACATTAAATCAGAGATGCTGTATGTATTATACATAGGCCGTGTTTTGACATCCATCACTTACTGCTGACTAAGGCAAATGCGAGGTCGTACACGTATTAGAGGAATAATGAAATTTGCAGGGATTTTTTTCTCTCTCTCTCCCCCTCCTCAGGTCAAAAGGTTTCTAAAAGCATTTCTCTCAATGTCAAAGAATGACCATTATTGAAGGCCATCTCGAGCTGACTGATTGCTTCACTCGCTGGTTTGAAAGCTGTAACGTGCAATATTCATAAATTATACATATTATATTATTCTTACAAAGCAGCCGCAGATATTGAAAAATAAAAAAAACGTGTAAGGCAGGTGAGGCTGTTGTGCCAGTTCTGTGCTTGTTGCCACCAATTAGGTTTGTGAAGAAAGCAGTTGTTACAGTAACCTGAGGAATAGTCAGTAGGGTTTAGTGTCAAATGCAGTGACACCAGGTCAGCCAGGCAGCACCCAGTGAGGGATATTCTCTGTGCCAGGGCCCTGTCCCTTACAGGCAGTGCAGTGAACTATGATAGGGCACTCCTTACCTTGGGAATTAGCCTGCAAGACCCCGATGCTGTCGTCAAACAGCATGGATTTGATGTTGAGTGACGCCAAGATGCATTCTTTGTCCTGCAGTGATGCGTCGTCAATATTGTTCTGATTGGCTGACAGAATGACACACATGTCGCAGAGGTTGATGTTGACAGCCCTCAGATCTGCCCGACTCAATGGTGTGCCCTTTGAGAGGGAGTGAAGGAGAGAATTTGTTATCTCACCTATGTGATACAAGAGGCAAATGAAAATGTGGCTAAATGTGATGCTTCAAGTGCCGTTCTCATCCGTGAGACCTATTCAACCCTCTGTCCTACAGGGCTGAGATAATAAAACAATATTTTGATTAAATATTGAAAAATCATTAAAGAACATTTGAATCATGTAAGGCCAAAGCATCATACAGGTGGGATGATGCACTTTAAAGGCTTATTGACTAAAACCGCTTTCTTTCCCTGATCTTAACCAAATGCTAAAACTTAGCTATGATAATGTTAATCGTGTCTTAGTCGCCAGGAGTGAATATTCTAGAGAACATACATGAAATACATGACATTTTCAAGATACATTCAGTATTAATATTTAGCACTGGCAGTGAATAGATTGCAGATACATACTACTTAAATATTTCCTCATTGCATTGATTAATAATAGCATTATGTTTCCCACAAAACACTTGTTAACGCAAATGAGTTGTATATGTATAGAATGAAGAGGCAGGGTTGCTCGTTGTGTCATACCTGTTACAGTCGTATAGAGAAATGAGTGATTTTGCTGTACTCACTGGCAGAATGGAAACTTTTGGAAAGTTGTGAAGAGTCTCCCACTCTCGCTTCAGATACTCAAGGGAGCCGACAAACACGATGTGCTTCAGCTCATGGTAGTGAAAGTTGCTCGCTCTCAGGGGCATGACAAAATTTCGGAGACCAATCAATGCCGATTTCACATCTCCAAAGATGCACACAACCACATGTCCGCTCAGAACAGTCATGGCTGCCTCGCTCCGGGTCTGACAGGGAGAGAGAGAACGAGGGATAAAAAAAAAAAAAGACAAAAAGATGTTTATGACTGAAATGTTGCATGAACTGGCTTTTTTTAAACAAAGGTTAATGCTTTCTCCTCTTGTACTTGCCTGCTCACCCAGTGAAATATATCATGCAGTTTATGACTGCACTAGACTATGAAAGTAATTTGAAAAATGGCATATGTATTAGTACAAGAAATGTTCTATGTACAGGGCCCCCATATACCAAATGACAAGTCAAACACCTCATTAGAGTGTTTAAGTGCCCTGTCAACCTCTGATGGTGCTTTGTGACATGACACATCTGTCACCGGGGAGAAGAGTGTCAGGGAAAAATGACGTGTGCCGCGTAAAGGAGCAGAACCCACCAAGATGACCTTCTCGATGTCTTTGGACGGGCACCAGTGAAACATCCCTGTGGAGTCGTATTTCTTTATATTCTCATCCATGCTCTCAATCTGCTCGTTCCCAGGGATGAGGAGTGGGTCATGTCTGATCAAACAAAAGACAAGAGGGAGGGCATGAAAGAATAGCATAAGACACTGTGACTGTAGATTAAATGACCTAGTTCTTTGCATTTGACTAATAAAGCTAAATTATGAAATGATAAACCTGAGAATATCATTCTCGAATTATAATATTAGGAGAAGCTTTTTTTTGTGTACAGCACCTTTCAAAACAAAATTACAAGGTGATTTGTCAGGCTAAAACCATATTCCAAGCTATAACAATTAGTAAGTAAAATCAGGCAATTAGAGGTTGGAAAATGAAATGTAATAATTGAAATAAATAAATTGAAATACTAATGAATAAATAATAAATAAAAAAAACTAATTAAAATTTTTTAATTGTGAAAAACATTCATTAATAGACCATCAAAATATTTAGGGATCTCCAAACAAATCACTCGTATTAGAAAAAAAGTAGCTTTTTCCCTTTTTCCTTCCTGTGCTCATTCCTGTCAGAGACCATCTGCAGAAATGCCAACAACACTGCCATGTCATCCAGCAGAGTGACATCAGCAGCGGCAGCCAGGCGGAAGGAGATGGCAGCAACACACTGCGCTGACTGGCATGAGCACGAAGATGCAATTACGCCCCCTTACTGCATACAGCTTCCGACGTAGTGTGCTGCACGGTAAAAGCTTTAACAGACCAGACTTTAAATATTTCAGCAATTTGCCCAATCATATTTGCTTTCCAAAGTGAAGTGTATTAATTTTTAAACACAGCATCAGAACTACATAAACTAATCTCACTGAGCGCAGTGGTGAGCTTCATCCTACCCAACATTGACCATTAAAGTGGTCTCCAGACATGAGTACCTGCGGTTGTATCATGCTTGCTCTGGTCAGAGCGATACAAGGTATATTAATGATATATTAAAATAATTTTCAATTTTCACCAAAAACATCATCTGACTTTCAAACTCTCCCATGTTCACCTTTCCTCCCTTTTGAACCCACCTCAAAAATAGAAACAAAAGGAAAAAATACAATGGAATATTAAATCAATTTGCAAACATAAAACTAAATATTTTTTTAATTAATCATATGCACATATGAAAAATGTAGAACAAAAATTCTCTATGTATAATATCTTCCTTCTAATAAATGACAATAATCCTCCTCCGAAATAATGCATCTAAAGTTCACACCCAACATCAGATGCTAGGGTTATTGTCTACAGACCATTTATCTTTAGAGATTTCACTTTTTTTCTCACATGCTGTATGCAAGGCTATTTTCTTGAGCCATGACACGTGAAGTATTTAAATTTACAAAGCTTTATTGTTCTGTGCCGGTTTAAAGTAGAACGACAGTCTGGTTGTTCTATTCTAACCAATTTAACGCATTTCCCATCTATCCATTTTCTAATCTGTCTATCATTGTTCAGAGGCTGTAGAATATCCCACCATGCATTATGAGAGAGGCTGAACAGGTCCAAAGTCTATCACGGGGCTAACACACATACTGCACAAAGACACACATTTACACCTAAAGGCAATTAGGGTTGGACAATATAGCTAAAATAAATATCACAATATTAATGAGAATATGTTTCCAATGTTGATATCACAATATGTTAAATGTATGCAAAATTAGGAATCGTGTTCATACCTTATCTATATTGAATTACTTTAATCTATCAATAAAACTTAACATTCTTATTTTGTTTCCAATTTTAACTTCAAATAACTTGTAATTAAACAGAGTTTTGCAAAACGAAACAAAAACTAAAAATTATCATATCATCAGGATTCCACTGATAGTCGATACATGATAATATATTATTATATATATAATGTATATATTACTTCCTGATTTGAAGGTTTCCAATTTACCTACACTGCATGTCTTTTAATTTTTGAGGAAAACCCACACAGACAAAAGGGGAACATTAAGACCAAATCGCCTCAACCAGCCTATGCAGTCAAACCAGCCACAGTGGTAACTACAGAGCTGTCTGCTGCCCAACACAATTCCCCTTGCACTAAATCAACTTTGTCAGATTCAGATCACAGCTGAAGATGTTATCTTCTGAAAACATGGACAGCATCCCTCTGTCTCTGTCTAAAACCTTTTAAATACTTCAAGTCTTCTCCCCATAAGAAGAGCATCTCTTTAATCCATGTGAGTACTTTAAAAGAATGCTACCTTAAGTAACACGTTAAGTATGCATGAAAGTGTCAGCTGAAACTACCATCCCTCTGGCTCCAAGAGACTGAAGCCAAAAAAGCCTGCCTTTGGGCTTATATACCCCTAGGCAAGACCTGGATGTCCTTTCAAGAATGGAAGTAGTTGGAGAAAGAGATGTCTTTCCTTCCACTTTCTACCTCTCAGACTCCAACCTGTCAAAGCAATTTTAATTTGAAAGGACATGGGTGTGCAAATTAAATTCCGTGGTTGAAGAATGTAAATATTATCTTAAAATAGAGAACGCAAGTGTACAATGCAGGAGCAGGAGTAAATGTCCCCTAATAAAAGTTCCAACACACTGAAACCTTAAATCCATGTCTTTTTTGTATGTTGTTCCAACAAATTTTCATGATCAATTATTTGTTTGATTAATCAGTTATACTATGATTAATCATCTATAAAATGTCAGAAAGTAGAAAAAAATGACCATTACATTTTCCCAGACCTCTGTAATCAAATTTCTCGTTTTATCTGACCAGCACTCCCAAACATATTCCACTTAGAATGATATAAAAACAACCAATCCTCACATTTGAAAAGCCTGAAACCAACAAATGTTTGATCAGGTCAAGTCAAGTCTATTTTTATTTGTATAGCGCCAATTCACAACATAAGTTATCTCAAGGCACTTTCCAAATACAGCAGATCTAGACCTTCTCTTTATAATATTATTTACAGAGACCCAACAATTCCCACCAAGAGCCAGCACTAGGCAACAGTGGCAAGGAAAAACTTCCTTTTAAGAGGCAGAAACCTCGAGCAGAACCGGACTCAGAGTGGGCGGCCATTTGCCTCGAACAAAATTAACACCTGATAAATCAGGTTGTTGATTAATTTCTTGTCAATAAACTAATGATTTGTCCGAGACAATCATCCTCCATAACTCTTGTTATATTATTGCATAGCCTCTGCTTGAGTCTGAAATGCAAGTTCTAATAAGACTGAAAGCATTTAGTGGTTTTACACCTCGACTAAATATTTCATCAGAAGTCGAATGTTTCACCACTCACTCAGTGGTGCCGCTGTCACTTCAGTTTGTCCTTGTGGAGATGACTGGTGAGGCAGAGCTCTGCCAGGATAGCTATCGCTCACTGTCAGCCATGACGGCCTGTCACTATCCTGCACTGCCAATTGCCTCAGCGGTGCTGTAGCAGACATGACGTGTATGTCACGACGCCGTCCGATGTGACCAAACGCGTTGTGACATCCCACAATTAGATGTGTCTTATGACCCATCAAGGAGCCTGTGGAAATGGTGTTAATTTCAGTGAGCTCGTCATTGCTAAGTTCCAGACAGGACGTGTTAGTTTGCTGATACATCTGGAAACAGGAGACAGTTCTGCCTCCACAGCTGATCGCTTCTTTCTTTTGTGCGGTTTGTTTCATTACACAGAGGTGTCTGTGAGTGTCACTTTAGTAGGCACACTTCTAAACATTCAAAATGATCAGCACCATAATTCCACTACTTCATTCGTAAGATGACACGTTTGACTAGACTTCACACGTCACGACCGCAAAACATAAGGCCAGGTGTCTTCTAGAGGCACGTAATGACAGCTGAGAAAGACATAAAGTAGACGCTAGACATGCATATTATGCAGATTTTCTATTTCAGCATCACTGCACTGGCTTACTGTAATGCAAGCAGTGAGGGCAGGCAAAGTCTTTGAAAATCCTTCCCCTCATGCAAACTGACAAAGACTTGATCTTCAAAACCCACAGCCAATCTGTTGATCATTACTTATTTACAAAGGCCTTGAGGCCGCAGGTCCTGTAAAAACACATTTGATATAGTATACAGCCAGATGTTTTTTTTCTCCGCTTGTTGCAATGAAGTATCCCTTAGGCTACCGCAGCGAATCCCTCTGCACCATGTAGGCTGCAGAGACACTGGGTGAAATAACACATCCACCTGTATCGTTCCATGCATTAGCATGGCAAGTAGATGGATTTGTTTGGTGGGATGATATTTAGCTGATGGCTATAGCATTGGGAATGCCTGGTTTTTATTCCCAAGAGTCTGGAAATCACCTGGAGCGATTCAACTTTGACACCACTTTGAACCAAATCAAACAAGGGCAAACGCCCACCTGAAAAAACAGAGGCCATAGATCAAAGGAAAATGCTAAATTATGCGTATAAACACTCCTTTTAGATATAATGCTAAGTCGTTTTTATAGCTACAGTACATTGTTGATCTGTATTGTATCTCAGTATTAAACAATATAGACATTTGTAGATTTAGTGCCAAATAAATAGCAACTAAATTAGCAATGGGAACATAATGTCATCTGTCAGTTTTAATTCAATTTGTCCTTTACAGTTCCACTCTGTATACGTCAGGCTGCAGGACTTCCTTGTTGCCTGCCTTCTTTATAACATGGCACTTAATGACAATGACTATTACTATTATCATCCTTCTAATGGCCTCTTGTTGAATAACAGTGTTATCGCCAGTCAAAATCAATAAGCGCAGTTTTAATTTTACAGGACAAGATAAAAGCAAGGTAGCATTTGAATTCGCCTTTCATTGTGATGATACATATCATCTGTGGCCTTACGTGCTGAAAAGAACTCAGAGGGATCCGACAATAGATGAATAGCCTTGGGCTATCTATCCTTTAGAGCCTCTCTGACTGCCTGGTGCTGTCATTAGTGCCAGGCCTGTTTAAAAGCTGTAGTCTGTGGGTGTCACATGAAACCTCGTGGCATAGAGCCCTCTGACATGTTTTCCATGAATACAGGAGCACAGAAAAGGTTCCTTAACATGTTTTCCATAATATATACTGTAGAGTTTGACTGAAACAGGACCATTGAGTCTGATATCAATATTTGACAGTTTTAAAAATCTGAAAAAGATGTATCAGCTATTATTTGTTTTTCATTATAAACATAATCATTTTCGAAAAGGGTCCACAGAGAATTATCACCAGTGTCAGACTGTGCAGTTACCTTCAACTCCATGTAGCATTTTTAGCCTCTTTGAACTCATTGTTTTGGTTTTATGGCCCACAACTTTAATTTCCTTTGTCTTGTCTCATCAACCTGATTTCCAACAGCAACAGTAGGAAGCTTTTTGCAGCTACAAAACGACTATAAGCTACACCAAATTGCAGACAGACAAAGTTAGCGACTAGCTGGTGATCACATTTAGCAGCTATAGATATTGTATGCTAATATTGCTCAGTGCTCAGTTTGTTAACACATTCATCTTCACTGTTTGATAAGGTGATATTATATCTGTGTTGTGTTGGTGGTACGCTGTGCTGCCTCCAAGTGGCCTGAAAATCAGGTCGAATTTAGCTATCAAAAGATTTTGACCAGAATATCTTCTCAGAGGGACGTGTTATGGTTGAATAGTAAACTTGTCAGTGCTCTCTGTTGAACACATTTTAACACTAGAAAGAAATCAATGTACAGCATACAAATTAAACACACAGATGCAACAGACATGTCACCAGAGATATCCTACCTCATAATCTTGGGTGAGGAGTTTGGAGAGTTCCTCATGCCTCCATTACGTTGCTTTTTTTTGGGCGATAGTGCCAACTGTTGGTCTTCTTCAACTGCAACAAAGGGTCACGGTATGAGGGAGGGAATCATCAGAGGACACGCAAAATCCACACATCAGTAACACCAAAAGAACAACAAAGCACAATTTGAGGAATACGGTCAGAGAGGGAGACAGAGTGGAAAGTGAGGTTGGGTGAACAAGATGGAGTGGACAGGACATTTCTACTCGTGTGCAACGCAAAACAGTCCAATGTTCGCATGATGACGACAGGATACATTAGCACATCATTTGCATGGTTGTGTATGAAGATGCAAACATGCAATTGTGCCATCATCAACCATCATGCCCATTACTAGTCTAATCTGCTAATCCAGAGAATTGCTGTAATTCACATGTTAGCAATTTTATGATTCAGATAATATAGTGCCACAAATACGTCAAAGGGAATAAGGATACTTTAATTTTTTATATCCCTAGTTAGAGCAAATTTCCTTAGACCTAGACTTGGAAAGCTTCTCTGTTGGCCACACTAATCACTCACAATCTCATTTAATTAAGGTAATAACCTATAAATATCAAGCATCCAACAACATAAATAAGGCTCCTTTTGTGCCAATACTGAATCCAGTCTAGATTGCTGGTCTTTCTTCATCTTGGGCGTGACGCCCTTGGCTCATATAATTAGGTTGGTCCTTGTGCCAGAGTGATTTATGTACAGCTGAGATGCCCCTTGGACATTGTCTTCATCACTACACAAAACTGCGCTGAGCTCTTCATAGGGAATGAATTACAAGTTTTACCCTCGAGTTAAGTAATCAGGCAAATATTTTCACGAGCTCATATAAGAGTCGAGGAAAACAACTCTGCTCTGTGGCCGTCACTGGTAAAATAAACACAAGCAGCGAGAAAAGTGTTTTCGGTAATCGCATTTTAACAGCCACCATTTATACTGGGAATAGCTTGTTACAGGTCATGACAAATTCACTTGAGTATCTTTAAATGATCATCAAGCTGTCGACAGGGTTTTTTTGTTTTATAACAAAGAATAGTCTCAAAGATCATGCTCCTCTGTAAATGAACACAGGGTTTCAGGCGCTGCTAGCATGTCTTAGAATGACACCATAATGGAAAATGTTGAAGTACAGGGGGGCTTCCAGTGGAGAGGGAAGCTGCAACACACTGGCCCTTCACATCTTGCTTGGCCTGTTCAATATTTAATGTTTCACAGCTGACAGCTGCACACACTGGGTCATTAGTAAGGAATGCTACACATGCAACCACTCCAGCCTGGCAAGCACATGCTTTGGTTGTGCTGTTGTTGAGTACAGGCCTGCCAAACATGTCGAGGGGAGGGGGAGGGGGAGGGGGGTGGTGGCGCGGTAGCCCTTACAGTGCCTGTGACTGAATGTGGCGTTATTGGAGTGACTGGGGTGGTATCTGTATTTCACTGGTAGGCTACGTGCCCGCTGGAGCCGGCTGGCCTCTTCTGCCACCCTTGGTCGCCGGCCCACCTGGCCCGGGTCCCTGGAGCCTATGAAACTCAGTCTCAGAGCGCAGGGCTCTGCGAGGGGCAACAGACTTCCCTTGCGGTTGTTTACCAATGGGACCGACACAGGAGCCACTCCGCTACAGGGCCCCCTACAGACCTCAGCTGAGTTGTGGTTCAGTTTAGCTGACTTGTATTGATAAGTTGATGACTGGATTAGGGGGCCATCATTTACTGCTAAATGAAGAGGAGTCAAAATTAGCAGCTGTACAATTCAAATGAATGGATTATTACCTATTTTAAAGGATCATTACACCCAAATCACAAACCCCTAGTGGTATCTAGCTATATTGATAGCTTTGGTTTTATGTGCTGAGGTTTTAAGATAGTCATCTGACATTTCATTTCATCATAATGGAGGTGAATTAAATCTAATTTGTGGTGCTCATGACAATGAAACATTAGATTTGAAAAATTCAGTTCTTCAGAAGAAACAGTCACTTTGAAAACAGTACAGAGTAACTTTTATAGATTATCAAGAGTAACTTGGACATTGTTTTGGAAGAGATATGTTGCTGTTAATTCTTTTTAAATCTTATTTTTTTGGAGCTGAGAGCATCAACTGTATTGGGTGGAGGCAGAAATCATAGAGACACACATTTCAAAACATGGGTGCATAAAACTGAAACAATGTCTAGATACCACGAGGGGGAAATAAGAAAAAGTTTGCATTGTCATTTGGGTGAAGTAGCCCATTAATTCTTCACGTTCACCACAAAATAGGATTTGATTTAAACTGACTTCAATAGGACCTGCAGTGCGTATGTTAATAAAACATCTTGTGACTCTTATCATAATTAAAGCACAATCACTGGTTTTGGGGGGTAATTCTTTCTGGCACAAGAATGCTAATAGCTGAATAATTAAAAAACCTCTTTTTTATTAAACACCACTTAACCACTTGGTATAGCCACCAATGAAATGTTGGATTTGACATTTACTTTGATATTTATAATAAACATTAATTAATAAATATGCTTTCAGGTGTTCCAGCGATTGTTATGCCACAAGAACAAGTAGGTGACAATGTGAATTAACAACCACTAGCTGCTGTTTGCAGTTTATGCCTGATGAGGGAGGAATGACTTCAGTATCCACTTGACTATGTGAAATATCAAAGCTTACAGCTCCACTGGTGTTATAATGGAGGTAAAACTGGTAAAGATAACATGATCAAATAGACAAAAGGAGGCAGAAGAACATGGTCCCCTTACTCCAAAAAATGGCTGGGAGCTAAAACTGGAGAATAGAGATGATTATTTCAACAGTCAGCTGTCTAGTAGATTATCCTTCCTGCTCCAGACCTCCACTATTCATCTGGCCCATGTCAAACATGCACAGCACTTCTCCAGGACAACACCATTGTGGCACATTTGCTGCCTATAACAAATCCTGTTAAAGTCGATGGCCCACAAGGTGCACACTCCTCTAATGGCTGGACGAGAACTGAGGAAATATTAGACCAGCTCTTAACTCTTAAATTATTTGATGCCTCCTGTCCGTTCTCTAAAAATAAATCTGTTACAATTTTTGCATATATTTTCATACGTATATTTACTTTAAATGTTTTAGTGTTTTATCTTGATTAAATTCTTCCACTCTCACAGTGAAGCAGCAGCACCATCTACTGCTGAGCTGTAACTGATACCCCAACACAAAACACACAGAAACAATTTCCTAATGCTTTGCACATAAAATATAATGATGGATGAAGATAGACTAGACAGAGCGATGAGCAGCAAACAGTGGAATACAGCGGGTTAGAGACAGTTCAAGTGGTGATAGCTGATACTGCACAAGTGGTGGGGTTAGAAACAAATGACAAAAGATAGAAGGGAATGCAAAACTTACTTGATTTGATATATCCATTATAGCTATTTTTAGCTGAGAATAATGCAGAGACAGATGAAAGGTTACAGGGAAGAAAAGGTTGTAATGAAAGCAAATTATAAATGACAACAAAGAACTGAAGGCTGAGGGATTTCTCTGTAAGGCACTTAAAAAAAAAAAAAAAAAAAAATAGGAGTGTGCCCTGAAGACAACATGGACAAAGCAATGAGAAATAAAACACGGGTCAGTTAGGAATATGATTTTCAGTAATGTGGTCAGTAAGCTTAAACAGTGGATCATTGTCTGTGTTTGTAGGTGGTCATCTGCTGACGAAGAGTCCCATTTGAGGCGTTAAAGGAAGCACTGATTTGGTGTTTTGCAAGACAGAAAATGTCTCAATTTCTAGGTTAAAACTGAGCTAAATGTGGTTCAAGTTGAGTTAGTTTTTTTACATCAAGGTTTAGGTCTGCACATAATTATTTTCATCAATGATAAATCTGCTGATTACTTTCTTCATTAATTCATTGTTATGTCTATAAAATGAGTTGATGTCTTTAAATAGCTTGTTTGTCCGATCATCTGCTTAAAACTCAAAAATGATTTACTATTATATAAGATAAATTATTACAGGAAATCATCTCAACTGAGAAGCTAGAACAAGGGAATAGTCGATACTTTTGCTTTAAAAATGATGTAAAAACAAATTGATTATCAAAATAATTTCAGATTCTGTCGACTGACTGATTGATCAAGGTTATATATAAATGACTATATTTCAACATGAAGCAGGTCCTTACTTCAGCACACACTGAAATATAGTCGTTAAAATGCTGTTTAACCTTGACGACTAAGAATTTAAACCAAATTTAGTCTGGTTTTAACCGGGATGTCTAGAGGTCTCTTGCTCACTAGGCCTGCATTAACATTTAGTCAGGAGGTATGTATTCACAAGACATACAATATGTGACAATACTGTATGTGTTCTTGTTTATGCATTATGTTTATTTTTCTCTTCCCAAAATCTGTTTCCCATTCCTCTGCACTGCCTGACACAACCTGCACGGACAAATTGGAACTTTGTGTGAGTCACTTTTTGGAGCTGTGAGTCCCACACATGCTCATTAGTACCTTATTTCAACCCCTTGCTTACAATAAAGGTCATGCATTGAGCTTAAGGCAGGACAGTGACAGCAATGTTCAAACAGGGACCTTGCTGGTCCTGGCATCTGTCGCCTGCAATCGGAGGGCGCGAACAGAGTCACAGGACTAACAGGCTAGCATCTGTCCCACAACGAGAGAGGAGGAGAGGGGCGGGGGCACACGGCTGCCTGGTGGTTAGGAACTGTCAGGCTGAGTTTCATGACAACCGGTAGCACTCCAAAAATGAAAATGCAAACATAATTTCCATGTCAGGCCGTATAAGGCCTCGCTCTGCGCGTCTCCCACACTGTGTCGACAGCAACTCCAGAGCTCGGCTCGAGCTTAGCTAGCCAGGCGATGCTCAGAGCACACAGCCCTGGAAGACATGTTGAGGGGTGGAAACGCCCAGAGATGTTCAACTATACACAGCATGGTCTTTGATCAAGAGACATTCACTAAAAGTCTATGACAGACTACAATGTTTCCAGCAAATTGTATTAACGCTCCGCAAACTCAGACACATTCTTCATGCCTTCTGCAATATATCAGTGAAACTTAACATGCCCTCTGGCTTTAAAGGGGAATCACACTTGAATTAAGAATTCATATGCAGCTCAACTCAGTTCAGCACAATTCAGTCAATTCCAATATGATCCAGGACTGTTCTATTGTCTTCTATTCCGCTTGCAATCCAATACGATCCAGCTCTATTCCACTGTTTTCTGTTAATCTTATTGTGCAATTCAATCAATATCATAAGACTAAAAACTCAAGAACCTGCAACCGAGAGCTTCTCCACTGGCAATGAAGGAATTTTACTTCCAGTGCTTGTTCAAGCTTTTGGTCTTAATTTAATAAAACCAGTACATTAACCTCAATATGCACTGCTATCCTCAGAAAATCCCCTCAGGTGTTCTTAATATCATCTTTTTTTCTTAAATTAATTGTCTGTGGCATTTACACATAAAATACCTCAAATCCTGTCCTGTCCACCCATTTCTGGAGGGTACAGTAGTGAAACATTTTGATTACATGGATCTTGTTTGGGTTATTCTTGAAAAGATGTAGTTACCCTATCCAGTGACATCATTATAGCATTTGACAGCAGCATTTGTGCACTCCTCTCAAAACAAATAATTTGAAGAAATGCATGCAAATCCTCCACCAGGATTTCCAAGTTTAAGTGTGCATCAAGAGATTTGTGGTGGGGATACACAGCTGTATTTTTTTTTTTTTTTTTTATGGCTTCAGTTTTAATTGCTTGCAAATATGTTGTAGAGGTCACTGGAGGGGGAAGCACACCATTTTTTCAGTAGAGAATTAGTTTTCACACGAAATTTGTATTTGTATTAATGATTGTTGACCTAATTCAGACTACAGGTCAATTAGAATTCACATTCTCTGATTAAACACCAGCAAAAACAGTAAACCAGCATGCTTTACAAGAGCTACAAGTCTCCTCCAGAAGTAGCAACAGAGGGGGAAGAGCACCAGCTGACTGAAAATCATAAAACTAAAACACTAAAGCAACATCTATATCCATGGTAGTGACGACACAGCTGCTAGAGCTAGACAGCACGCAAGCTAAAGACACACTACACAGTTGACACAGTGCATGTAACAAACACTGAAGAGCACATGTCATGGCGACAACTTACAGGCACGTAAAGTGGCTGAGCAATCATTAACAGAGACAGCAGAGAGTGGGATGTCGCGTTGAGGGGAGTCCATGTTACAACGCACATTAACTGGCATGCAAGAGCAGTCCCGCTCTGAGCGGCCGCAATCAAAACAACATGCCAGTCTCATTTTCTTGTAGGCGGGCCTCTTGGCTACAGTCATGGGTTCAGACGAGAGGAGAGGAAGAGCAGGTTAATGTTGAGGGTCGTTCTGGAGGAAGAGTGGACAAACGCAAGACAGCGCACAGAGGAAGGCTGCTGCTGGGATACACAAGATTAACTTTATCTCGACAGCGTGCAAATGTCAGATTAGGAATTTTTTCCACACTTTGTGGTTTATTCAGTTTGGGTCATTTCTGGGACAAGTGTTGGAAGTACCACGAGGCCCTACGGTCATGTGGTTTTGGGGGTATAAATGTGACATGAGTGAGGGTGAGATGGGGAGACAGATCATGTGTTATATTTGACACTATGATTCTTATTTGCACTGGTTCCTTATTCTAACTGAGAATGAAAAATGCGAGACAAGATGGCATAAACTTCTCCAACAAAAAGTCAAAGTGAATGTGACAGTGTCTCATAAAACAGATTTCTGGGCTTCTAGATAAATCTGTAAGTACGTCCAGAAAGGACAAAAACAAAAAGTCCAAACACTTGTGCGAAACGGTAAAAGACCATAAATTGATATGACATCCTCAAGTAACACATCCTGCACGACTTTACTGTTTGTTCCAAAACATCCTTGATGTAAGATGTGCTGGGAGAAACTGTGCAGTCAAGTCTGTGAATTACATCATTTTGAGCTTTGTGTAACATGATTTATTCCTTTTATCAAAACAGCTATAATGAAAAATATTCCTCATTTGTCATCCTCCAGCTCTGCTCTTTTTGCAGGATGTTGTGTTTGTCAAAGGACTGTGGGGACACCTGGTGGTGATCTGGAGTATTACTGAATCAAGCAGGCAGTTGAATGCAGTTGAATGCAACTTTGAGGATGCTGCAATAGCTATTTTTTTGTATATTACAAATAAAAGAATAAATAGGTACTGTAGGTGATGTTTGCTCAACTGTTTTTCCAAAATCATTATTGGTGCTCATTTTTGTCAAATGTTTGACATTATGACATATGACAACGGAGAGGAATCCAGGCAGCATCAACCATTGTACATGCAACATTTACAGTACAATCAAACAGTTGCTTCGATCAAGGGTAGCAAGCTGTGTTTTCAAAGGGGGAATGAATACACATTACTCACAATATATCACTATAAAGTGAATGTTTTTAAGAAAAGTGTGCCAAGTTCCCAAGCAGCAGGAAAAGAATACATCAGATGTTGAGATTAAGTGTTAGCTATAATAGTTAAAACAAACTGTAGGAAAGCCAAGTGAAAGAACACCAAAGTGGCACATGATGTCTAGAAACACACGATCCATCCAGGTACCTGTGGTGTTAACAGTCTCTCTGAATGCCTGTTAACATCACAAAGTTGTCAATAAAAGGTAACATCACAGACAACTATTATACAAAAGAAAACATAGCAAACAACTACATCAGCAAACAGACAAAATGCACATATAGACTAAATTCAAAGGTGGTCTTAGAGGAGTTAACTAATTTTTCACTTTTCTGTGTATGTATAACAGAACTCCACCGAATAGAGAATTTGACATAGATGCTAAATAGTTTTCTCTATCCCCTGATATTGTACATTAGAAGTAGTGGACTAAAAATGAAGAATCAGTTCATCCAAATCCAAAAAGAATCTCAAATCTCAAAGAGGGATATTTCAGAACATAACATTTAATCAAAAACAATTTGCACATAGATACTACAGTAAAGCTGTGTTTTGTAATTTGGGTGAACTGACCCTTTAATGAGTCCAGATATTCATGTCATACAGAGGCCGAGACATATGGTTTTATGAGGGAAACTTGGACTGCACTTGTTTGTTTTGGCTACAAAAAGAAATCCGATGACCTTTCTTCATGCGCAAGTTACACGGTTTCATGAGGTGAATAATTAATGCAGGAACTAAGTGGTTTGGACACATGGCTATGTAGGTCATGTAAATACACCATCACACCACTACACAAACGCTCTCTCAATACTGTTTCACTTTAGTCTGTGAAGGAATGTTAATTAAGTCAAACAAACTTAGACTATGTGTTTATATGTAGTCACTTACATTTCTTGCATCCACATTTCTTTATCCTTTTGGGATCAGTTATGTCATCGTGGCAGGCTTTACAGTAAAACAACGCCCTATGGAAGAAAAACAAGAATCCCATGTAAGAACACTCTACATGGTTGAGGAGTTGATGTCCAAGATGCTGAAATGAAAAAAAGTGTTTAGAGACATTTTATCTTCCCTACATCTGCAACAAGTATTAGAATGTAACTAAGTACATTTACCCAAGTGCTGCACTTCAACAAATTTGAGGTAGTTCTTCTTTACTGGAGTATTTTCATGTCATGCTACATTATACTTATATAATGTATTTTGTACTCCGATACATTTATCTGAGAGCATTAGGTACTTTGTAGATAATAATAATTTACTTATATGTTTGTAAAATATGATATATTAGAGATAAAACTACCCAATGGTAGATGAAATAGTTCATCATAGCTGTTCCTGAATTATACAACAGTAAAATTCTACTTATACATTAATGCATCAGGATATATGATATAATATGTATTTTTTTTTAGTTTTGATAGTTACATTTGGCTGATAATAATGCTAATGTACTTTTACTTAACTGACATTTTCAGTGCAGGAATGTTACTTGTAACTTGCAATGAAGTATTTTTATAGTGCAGTATTGCCACTGTTGCCTAAAAAAAGGATTTGAAATCATTCCCCCACCACTGTCTGCATCAAATTTTTTCAGGTCACGTCTAGTCATTCTAGAAGAGAAACATTTTTAATACAAGTATTTGATGCTTAAAGGAAAACAACAGAGGACCAGGGATGCATTTCAACAGAAAGAATCAGGTTGATTAAACAAATTTAATCCCTGGTATTTAGAAACAAGTCAGGCATGAATTTTAGGCATTTGCCAAATACATGAGGTGAAATGTTGTGAGCCGTACCAAAGTTAAACAATGTTTTGACGTATCATTAGGCCCTGCAGTGGGTATCAGGCTGTGTTTTCTTAAATTTACTGAGCCTTCACCACTTGTCGGAGGCCACCACTCTCTAATCCTATCCTAACGTACATTTCAATTGTGTTTGAATCTTACCCTTGCCCAAGAAAACAGCAGATACAAGCTAACAGCTAACATCATCATCTAACAACATAACACAACACAACAGCATAACCCACCGAAATAACCAAGCATTCCTCCTCAGCTACGGCTGCTTCACTTTTGCAAGCCACAAAGCCTACACCTGTGTCGATAATATCAACAGCTAACAACAACCAGCTAGTAATACGTTAAGCTATAGCGTAGTGAATGCACTGGCAACATGTGGCCTAAGGGTGTCCCCCGCCTTCGCCCAATGTCAGCTGGGATCGGCTCCCCACGACCCTATAAGGGTAAGTGGTATAGCTAATGGATGGATGATATATATATATATGTAATCTTTTTTTCCTACAAATTATGACTCACTAGAAAGAATGTGGTGACTGGTGGATACTGTATGACATGATGGCTCTTGCAACAGAGCAGCAAAACACAGTCACACAGAGTTTTCATCAGAGTAGAGACTTTACTTTTAGACACTGTTTAATCTCAGGACACATTCGTTACCTCTTTACTTCTTTGGCATCACTGGCAATAAAGAAGCCCAAGGTCCCTTCCTCCATTTTCACGTGGTTCCCAGGGTTTATCAGGGTGCTGCGAGAATTTATAGACCAAAGATGTCAGAGCAGAAAAGTTATATCACAGAATTTTGCAAGGCTTTGCACTAATCACTGGCACGCGCTGGCAGGATTAGTTTTTGCAACTCATTTGGCAGGCGAGCCTGTTTATTAAATTAAGTTGATGAAAGTTGATAGCAGTGACACTTCAAATGGTATAAAATGAGCATCAGTGCATTAAAGAAACTACTAAAACAAAGCTTCAGCTGTGTTTAAAGAAACCCACTGCCACCTCCTCCATTAATTTGTCAGGATCAGAAAGCCCTGTGATGTCTGTGAACAAACCAATTTAGACACTAATTTTGCACAATTTGTAAAGCGGCTTGTGTTTGCAGTCAAACAGAGAACCTGATTCAAAGTAGCTTCATTATTGAAAGCAAATACTGACAGCAAACACACCTGCATATTAAAGTTTTTGCATCTATGAATTTTAATGACTCCCAACAATCCACTGTGAGCACATCCACTTACCTGCTTTCCCTTTGATCAGACTTGTACTCTATGGCTATAAGTAGCAGCTTTAGCTTCACATAACAGAGTCTGCAAAAGAGAGTAACAATATAATTAGACATCGTGCATGCTAAATAATTTCAGAAAATCATCTTAGATACTTACTTTGAAGTCTAATTCATATTTTTGAGGCTAAGCACCTGTTTTTCCTGTTTGATTACCTTCTTTGAGACTTTAACTAAGAAATCCACTAGTTGAAAAAATGTATTATAGTAATTATGATATTTGAATATGGTATTTCAAGGATTTTTTGAGAAAAGGCTAATGCAGTATGGAAGTCACAGAATGGCAAGAGTTGCTTTCTTTTTTAAAAAAAAAAAAAAATCCCATTATCTTTACATCACAATTACAAATTAGTACAATTATTATCACGTGATTTTGGATGTTGGTTCTAAGAGGACTATCTCTCAAGACAACAAAGACATTTACCCTGCCGTCCCAAGAAAATGAGTTAGTTATTCCAACATAATTAAATATATCATATGATCTTGTGATAAATAAAACAAAGCAAAATCAAAAAAGTATGGTGGCTCGCAACTTACATACACACCTGTACCTTTAAAGTTAAAATGTTATCTCATCTTTATACTCTAAGACTTCAACACTGCTGTTTTCATATCTTCACACTCTTAGTTCTGACTCTTAATTTAAAAATTGTACGTTATTAAAAAGATCCAGAAATCTAGCAGATGCGCACATCCCTTAAAACATGAGCAGGTGCTGGACTAATGAAACAAAGTGAGAAGGAAAAACAAATGTCCGCACACTGTAGCTCCCTTATGTCATTTTTATTAGATATCCAAATTACACAAGAGACCTACAGTGTGCAGACCTTTATTTTTCTTTCTCAAGTTAGTGAAAAGACCAATGGAAACAAAAAACCAATGTAGCAGTTAAGTAAAGAAAAGAAAAAGCCACAAAGTACAACACTTAATTTTAAAAAGCTGATGTTTCAGTGTACTTACTCGCAAATTACAGGGAAAGACAAGCCAACAAAGGCACTCGACAGGTACTCGGTGTACATCTCATTAGCTACTCCCTCTAGGTAATACTTCTGCCATGTGTCCTCCTCAATCTGTGACAAACAATGGAAGACAAAAGACGGACAAACTTCTACCATTACAAAAATACTGGAATCTGGAAACAAATTTAAGTTTAATTTTTTTTTTTTTACAAGTTCATCCTAACCCACTCACCAGATGCTGTATATGGGCCTCACCTGGGATAATCATTATTATCTATTCAGACTTTTTGTTTTGATTAACTCTACTTTTGAAAATAATCCAGTGAGCACAGATGGATGAATCTTAGCTGTGGCTACCTTGATGAAGGACCTCATGGAGAAAAGGTTGGCTAGCATGGTGGAGAGGCCCTGAGCCAGGCAGCTCTGGGCGATGAAGCCGAGCTTCAGCTCCGCAAGGCAAATGGCATCATCTCCCTCCTTCCAGTTCCAGCTTGGGATGTTCAAAAGATGGGCCTAAGGGGGGAGGAAACAAAATGTTAGATTATGTGGTTGCTTTACAGAACTACAAACTGTAAACACTTATTAAATCCCTCTTTTTAACATGGTTGTAAAATATTGAAATTATAAATAAATAATCTTTCAAACAAACTTAAATTAATTTAAGTTTAAATATCAAAATGCTAAAATACAGCAATAACAAACACGTAATCAATCATCTTTTTAGGTTGTGATTCAAGTAAAAATGACTGAATATACCAACCTTATTGTGGTACTGCAACATTTGAGTGATTATTCTGATCTTTGGATGGTAGTTCTTGATGGATATAACCCTGATACAGGACAAAAGGGACAAAACAAACTCAGAGCACTTACAAAACCTTTTCCATTTCCAGTGCCCTTATCTATTTCTCCTGGGCATGTTTACATTATTCATAAACACAAAAACTCCTTACACCTCCAAAAAGCATTCTCAAACTAAACATTTTACAGTTTGGCAGCTGGCAGATTTAAGCTTGTATAAAACAGTTCCTTGTGTCTTTTAATGTTGGAATATTGTTTGTTGTAACAGATTCATGTTCTCCCTCTCAGCTCTTGATCATTTTCCAAAAGGGAAAGTGAGACCCTGGAGTTTGTTCATGCTGAGAGTCTGTCTGCTTGCAGTGAGAGCCAGCTCCGACACGCTAGCTTACACTCCTGATTTGAGTCCAGGAAGTGATATCAAACACCGGCATTCACTTTCTAAGGTATGAGCATTTGGTAACACTTTATACTGTGTATCTCTGCCTGTTGTAACTGGGTTTAGAAATACCTGTCAGAAGTCCAAGAGGACACACGGATGCAGAGTTTAACCGACCAGTATTTCTGCACAGTTTACATCCTGAATAATTTGCATTATTTAAAGATTCCATATCACTAACACAAGATAAGCCAGTGGAGTTTGAGGCACAACAAAAATCCATCTATTGTATATATTTCTTTGAATGATTACAACGATTTATGTAAAAACAGGTTATTACATGTATAGAGTATACTCACTCACCCAGCACTTTATTAGAAACACCACAATAATACTAGGTAAAGCCTTCCCTTGCTCTCAAAACAGCCTAAGTACTTTGTGGGATGGATTCCACAAGATGGTAGAAACATTCCTTTGAGATTCTAGTTCATGTTGCATCACATAATTTCTGCAGATTTGTCAGCTGCACATTCATGCTGCAAATCGCCTGTTCTTCCAGATCCCAAAGGTGTTCTACTACATTCAGATCTGGTGACCCGGGAAGCCACTGAAGTACACTGAACTCATTGTCAAGTTCATGAAACAAGATCGAGACCACTTTTGCTTCGTGACTTGGTGCATTATCATGCTGGAAGTAGCCTTTAGAGGATGGCAACATAAACTTCATGGCCATAAAGGGATGTACCTGGTCAGCAACAATACTCAGATAGGCTCTGGGGTTCAAACCATGATTGATTGCTATTAAGGGGCCAAAAAAACATTCCCTACACCATTACACCACCACTACCCGCCTGGACTGTTGACACAAGGTAGGTTGGATCCATGTATTCATGCTGTTCACACCAAACTCTGACTTAGCCTTTCTGTCAGCTCCAACCAGTCTGGCCTTTCTCCACTGTGCTCTCTCTTCAACAAGGTGTTTTTGCAGAGCTGCAGCTCACTGGAGTTTTTTTTTTGCTTCTTGCACCACTCAGAGTAGGGATCAACCGATGTTTTTTTTCAGGGCTGATACCGATTATCAGTAATCAAGTGCTGTATTAGGAGACTCACCATGGCATCCAGGTGTTTCTATTATGTTGTCCACCCCATTTATATCAGTGAATGTAGGTTAAATAACAGAAACATCTCTGTATAATGTAATGCAGCTACACACTACATCCTTCACAATGATCATACAGTTGAATCAACAACTGTTTTAAACAATTTTATTACAAACTGAACATTATATCCTTCATGAAGGAGGATTTATTGCAGGACTGTTGTATTAGACACATTACATCAATTTTAGGTAGATGTTCCTAATAAACTGACAACTGAGTGTATATTAGTAATTATCAGTTGTGTGCAAAGGCTGCAAAGAGCCTGACTGGAATTAATTGGTCGATTTCAGTGCTGTCCTCACCTGTGAACTGATACACCTGGCAGCCTAAAGATGCTCTTTAATTTAATAGTTTTATCATATATTATGGACACCAAATGAAATGTTTTCCCTTTTCCCCTTTTCAAATGTAACATGTTTACTCAGAGTACTTCTTAACTGACTTACTTAGTACTTTTGTTTCAGTAACAGTAGTTTGTGGCCGTCCACAGTGCTGCAGTCAGCGTGGTGTAGTTTCTCATACTAGTAGTGTCGCTGCTTTATTTTATCACAGGTAATGCTTCCTTTTTTCATCACAGTGACTAACTACCTGCTGTACATTTAAACTTACAGTAGTTCTGCTCCAGCACATACAGCTTTCTGCTCCTTTTAGCGACTTTCACTAATTCAGCAGTTATTTACACGCTGTTCAGCTAGTTACTTTAGCTTAGCACTTAGCGCTAGCGTCTTTCTTTCTCTTGCTCGGTGTGTCTTGTACCAACAGATGTACTTGTTCATCGGAGTGTGGTGTTGTTGTAACTTCAGTGTAGAGGATTGTGTTAATTATTACAACTTCAGCGATGTCTGCTATCTTACCTTCGGTACACAGCTCCGCTCGTTAACTGGAGCAGCTCATTAACCGCAGCTGCTCTAGTCTGTGACCGTCGGTGTACACAACAGCCTTCAGCGTGATAGGCTGTTACTCGTGACGTGTAACCAATCAGACCGTGCTGTGGGCGGGACATCGCTGACTACAAACTGGCTGCATCAGAGCCAAAATAGCACTTTTAAATTAATTTATTTTATCGATTATCGGTTCAAAAATAACGACACCGATTATTGGAAAATGCCGAATTTTACCTATATCCCTAATTCAGAGTAAAAACTCTAGAGACTACTGTGTGTGAAAATCTCAGGAAATCAGCCATTTCAAAAATCCTCAAACCAGCCCATCTCACTCCAACAATCATGCCATGGTCACAGTCACTGAGATCACATTCCTCTGTTGCTGCTGATGTCAACATTAACTGAAGCTCCTGTCTGCGTGATGCTGCACTGCTGCCACATGATTGGCTGATGGGATAACTGCATGAATTAGCAGCTGTACAGGTTTTTCCAATTAAGTATTCAGTGAGTGTATGAGTTCTAAATAGGTCTAATTATTTCTGTTGCACACTTTAAACTTCTTATTTTTAACCAATGTTGAAATAAAATAAAAACATAACTTCATTGTAAAGCACCTATGATATCTTATGATGAATTTCGGAACTTTTAGAACTGAGCATTTTAACTCAGTAAAAATCTCCATTAATCTCCTGTGTCTTATTTATAAAACAGTGCCAATTTGCAAAAGCTACAGCAAGATTGAACATAATTGGCCACAGGATTAGAAACAAAAAAAAAAAAAAAAAGGAGGGAGAGAGAGAAACAGAAATCTTTGAGAAGCTGCTTTGGTTTACCTCATGATGTTGGATGCATCCTCAGCATCAGGGTCAGCACAGTATTTGTTGGCTAAGATCAAACAAGCGTCAGCTGATTCAATCTGAAAACAAAATTGCATACAGACAACACACTAAGTTATCCAAATCAATATCAGGCAGTAAACTGCAGTAAGGTATCAAAACAGCACAGAGTCACAGAGGGAGAAGCATTGTCTGTTAGTTACCTTGACTCTGGCCAGGTCGTGTGGGTTTAGGACGGACCCTTGGTAAAACTCCACCTGGGTGAAGTGGCGCTTGAACAAGGCTTCCAGCTCAAGATTAGGGGAAATACTGAGAGAAAATAAGAGAAAGTCTTAAATCTGAGTAGAAAGACTATCTTTAATCTGCTGAGGAGATGATTGTTTTTATCTTGAGCAATGACATTTGCTGTTTTTTCTGGGTCACAAGTGAAAAAAAAAATAAAATTTGTACTTACTTATGGAGAAAAACAATTTCTACATTGACATCATCCCTGTCCTTGTGTAGGAAGTCTTTTAGAAAGTTGGACACACTCTCAAGTGTTATATGACCACAGACCACGATGTGCCTGGAAAACGAGGTGCAGAGCAATCATGAAACTAAAATGCAGTTGGGATAAAAGTCAACAACAAAACACACAAACACAAAAAGGTAGTTTCATCTTTATCTTTGTCCTAGGATCAAAATGATGAGGGGGATGTAATGGGAATGAAAGGTTGTCAGTACTGCTGTATTCAGGTGATTGATTCGAAATCTGTGCAGGGAAAAAATAATTAAAACTATGTTGCAGGAGGGATGTTTGATGTTCCTGCTGTGACGAGTGAGGACTGAATGAGTAGGTCAGAGAGCACTGTGGATTTTAGTATCAGATTATAAAGGATCAGAGTTTACTTAGATGGAGATTATGAAATCAGCACAGTGTGTCTCCATTCCCACATATCACAGATCCTTTATGTAAGGAGCCCAGTTTAGATTTATTCCTATCTGTCTTTATTATATCTTTATCTTTAAACTATTTAGAAAATGATTTTAGGTGTTTACTCAGAAGTGCTACGAAAGAAGAACCGCAGCTGGAAATCTCTCCGCACTGCAGTGTTTCTTCATGGCTTTAATCTACAATAAATAAATCAGGATCATTGTTATTTTGCACCACTTGTTCTGCTAATTTGCAAAGGAACACAGTTAAGAGAATGGTTACATCTATGACAGTTATGATAGTAATGACGAGTTAGGACAGCAAGAAGAAGACAGAAGGAAATAGAAAAATAATGAAACTAATAATTCTCTCCTATTGTGAAAATAGCTAAAGTAGACATTAAAAATACATATACTTTAATATTTAAATGCAGGCAGCTTATACAGGGAGAAGAACTGCATCCCCAGATTTTCTAAATTTCTTAAAGCTGTTGGTCAAACGTAGCTAATAGACCATTTGCTTCAGCTCCTGCGTCTCATTTAAATAAATACGATTTTTTTGATAAGTGTTCATTTCATTAAGAATAAAAAAAATACCAACTAAAAAATCTTACAAAATAAGATACACACAAATAACTTAAATGGCTCTAATTGTAAGTGTTTCTACAAAACTGACCAACAAAAGAAGCCAAGATTTGGTTTAAGAACCTTTCCCAAACCAAGTCTGACTTCTTCACAACTGAGTGAAGGACCACAAGTAACAAAAGCATGCTACAATAAGCCATATTTTGTTTAGAGGCATCCAGAATCTCACTATCTTTAGAAACAGCTGCGGAGCTTGGGACACGAGTTCACATGTCACTGACACGTGGATATGTTAAAGGAATAGTTTCACATTTTGGAAAACACATTTATTTGCTTTCTTGCCGAGAAGATCAACGTCACTCTCATGTCCGTCCATTAAGTACGGAGCTTTTTGTATAATGTATACACAAAAAGTAAAAAATTTCAAGTTGTACTTTTATGATAGGTTACATGCTAAGCTACGCTAACTATGCCCTGGTAGCTTCATATTCAACACAAAGACAAATTGATCTTCTCACCTAACTTTTGGCGAAAAAGTGAACAAGCGCATGTCCTAAAGTGTCAAACTATTCCTTTAAGCTCAAAATTTTATTTAGTCCTGAGGGTGTAGGTCAGACTGAAGATAAAGGCCAGGAATGTTCATAAGCAAAGCGTGGAAAAGACAAGCATAGCAGAGCAAAAAAAAAAAAAAAAGAAAAGTTTTTCTGGCACAGAAAAACTGAAAATTCAAAAGAATCAACATGAAGCAAGCAATGACTGGATGTATGAGTTTGGAAATTTAAACTTATTAAGTTTATTATTTTGTCTGTCTTTAAATATTTTATGTGTATTATTTCATAATGAATGAACCACTCTGGTATGACTTAATTATTATTAATTATTACTCTTCAAGAAAACATATGCGGATAAACTGATTCAACTCTGTCCCCCAGTGTGTGTATTGATCCAGAAGTAGTTGAATCATTATTGTGTATCTTTTTAAATCAGTGACATAGTAACTACAGACTGTACTGTATAAGGTTTTTCTTTGATTACATATGTGCTTTATTTTATTTTATTTATGCAATTTTTACAATACACAAATTGAAGTGTTGGATGGGTGTGAGGTGTGACTGGTGAACAAAATAAGACTGTGTGAATGAGTGCAAATACTTGATTTACAAACACAAAATAGACACAGATGTACATTGACAATAAGCAGCCTAATTACAAGTAAGACACCACAAAACATGTAGGATTTTCTCTCAGTGGTTAATATATAGATATGGTAAAATTAAGTTCATAAAAACTGTGATACATCTGTAAACTGGGTGGAGCTTTTGCCCTTTTTGTCCTGGAATAAAATTTTGTAAAGCATTTAATACCCTTTAGTTTTGACCTACAGTGACCCCCAACTTTAACCCTGTGTACAGAAGAGGTGGCACTTTCTAATTTTAGTCCTCGAACAACAGTTCTTGGGAGTTACAATACTGATCAAAATAAAGCATAAAGAGCATAATGTGGGGTATTATTGTATTATTATTGTCATGGGCATGAATAACTGTACATCTGCTTTAAACCATATAAGAGGACAGGACCTTAAACATAGTTCTGTTTAAAAGTTTAACCACCTCCTTTTCTTTACTAAGTGGTGATGGTTTAATCCATTTACACACAGATCAAGGAAACGCATTTCTCTTTTTTTCCCCAACAGTAGTTTTGATAATCACAATTTATATCACAGTGAGATAATCCTACATGTGCCATCTTTAGACATGACAGCAATACATCTATGTGACTACACTGCAAAAATGTCAAGTCATTTTTGTCTATTTTTAAGCTCTCAAAGTCCTATTTACTTAAAACAAGTGAAAAATTCTGACAATTTTAAAAATGTCTCCAGTATGAATTTTGGAGAATCTCTGTCATTCTTCTTCAAGATTTTTTTTTTTTTTTTTTTTTTTTTTTTTTTTTACTTGTTTTCATAAATAAGACTTTCAGGACTCAATAATAGACGATAACCACTTGCTGACAAATTTATGGAGGTATTTTTGCAGTGTAAAAGCAAACATTGATTCATGACAAGTAGTGATGACAGCTTGCACACATAAAAGCAGCAGCAATACAGTACAATTAACTCTACACATTAATCATGGCCAAGTTCTTCAGTCACAGTGTGACTTTAGTGCTAATTGAGATCATTACATCTCAAGTGACAGTTTCATGACGTCTATTTACGCAAAGGTCAGAGTATGTCACCTCTTTATGAGAGGGCCACTTGAGTCACACAAAACCACACCATTAAAAGTTTGCTGATTTTTCATTTGTTTGACTTACTTTCTGCCTCTGGTCGAGTTATAACTCCCTCCATATTTCTTCCGATTAAGGATGAGAGCAGCAATTTCTGGCACGTAGCGAGCAAACATGGCCTACATGCATGAAAAAGAAAAAGAAAAGGGCATGCAGAGAAGGTTCTACTGCGGTGGAGGCAGTAGAGCCTCCTTGAATACTTACTTTCTCCCATTAACCGCACTATAGGAACCACCATATTTCTTGCGGTTTCCTATTAACTCTATGATTTCAGGGACGTAGCTCGCAAACATGGCCTAAGGAGAAGATAGAAGACAGAAGAAGAGACTAAAAAAAAGATAGGCAAAGAAGAGCAGGTCCTCTATTTTTGCTTTAAAGAAATCCGTAAAGTCTGAAAGAGGAACACTACTGTATGTGCAGGAGTAATATTAATATTTACTTGTTAACAGGAAAAAGGAGAAAGAAAATAAGAAAGTTGCAATTCACTGAGATTAGTCATTATTGGCTGAATGTAGCCTGGAGTTATATCACAGTTACATTCAAAATATTGAGAGAAAGTGTGAGAAGGAAAAAGGAAATTATAAGGCCAATATTTACGGATACTGGAAGAATAAAGGAGAAAAATGACAGCTGATGAGTGGTATGTCGATCTGTGACAGAAAATAAATAATAAAAATCAAGAGAAAGCCTTATGTGCCATGTTTCGCCCAACAAACACACGTCAGGTTGATTTAGAAAGCACAGCTAAATGGATGGCAAACATTAACTGAAACTCTACACTGCTGCTCAACTTTTGTTCAAGAGTCAGTGTGAGGACAAAGTGACAGTTTTATTACAGTTAGCATTAATATCTTTTAGTCTGAGATCCATGTAACAGATTCTTGTAACATTTACTGTAAACTCAAAAGAGACAGCTGCTACTCATCTAGAAATGTAGATATTTTCCCTTCTTCACATTAACTGCTGCTGTTGCTTGTGTGTTTCTTAACAAAAGGTGTCAGTATCCTGCTTTAGTTTATTTATAGGCTACTATATCAGACCTGCAATACCATGATGAAAATAAACTAAAGAAAAACAAGAAAATAGTGTAGTGGTGTACTGCAAATCCTTTAGCAGTTGAAATATTTTTTTTTATAGTCATTTCCCCCTATTCAGCCCAACATATTCAGTATCTTTAGAAACTTTGGGCTCTCTGCTAGAATTTAAAATGATATTCTGGGAGTTTGAACAATGTTTGGCTGCACAGCTTGACTTTGTACTGACTGTCTGTAGTTAAAACTTCACGCCTGTCCTTTTGCCCAAAGTTATTCATTTTTATTTTGATCATCAAAGAGATTGTGAATGACACTACAGCTTTCCAAAGGGATATAAAAAACCATATTTCAGTATGGAACCATGCCATTTAATCCACTTGTGAATAATCCTTAATGATCCACATAACAGTGTCATCTCAGTGAGGCTATTTTCTTTATCAGGTTACTCAGGTCTGTGGTAAATCTCAGACAGGATGTTTTTTCTGTTCGGTGAATTTATTTCACTATCGCTTTATCAGTCTATAAAATGTGTCCTTTTTCATTCCTCAAAATGCCTTTAAATATTTGTGCAGCTAGTGAGTTATAGTAATGTTGCTAAATCCATAAAGCTGGGCTGTAATAAATCATCCTTGAATCATTGTGTTTGTTGGAAAAGAGGGAGGGGAGGCAGGAGGGTGGAGCCACCTGAAACCGCAGTACTTAGTTTACAGTTAATAACAGATGCAAAAAATCTCAAATATTCTACATTTCATTTGAAATTAATATGTAACAAAAACAAAAAGCTTCAGCATTATACCTGAATAAATGCTGCATTATTATAGACAACTCCTACAATTCATGACATGCAACATACTGTGGTGAAGTGGTGAGCCACAAAAACACCTCAGTGTAAACAACAGGTGAAGGGCGTCCTGAGTTGACAGAGTCCCGGCGTTTGTTAACACCTGGCGGAGTGTGATGATTGGTTGCATGGAGGATTTTAAGCGGGAATAAGTAATGAGAGGGATTTTTACCAAACCACCAAGGATGAAGAAGACCATAAACAGGCGGCCCAGGGTGGTTTTGGCATAAACGTCTCCATAGCCAACAGTGGACATAGTAACCATGAGTAAGTAGACACATTCCCAGTAAGAAAGTGCCTGGGAATTTTGGAAGTTTTCCCAAGGATCCCCTGAGTTTTCCACCTGGAACAGAGGTTGAGATTCATACAACCATGAAAACACACAGGTGTAAAGCATTTTTATCTTCTTCCACAATGCAATAACAAGAAAAAAAAGAGCAACTACTTGCTGTATAAGCAATCTTTCATCTTAACTTCATTGGCTCACATTAACTTACCAAGTGAATGAAGCCTGCTGCAGTTAGCCATGTGCTTATGAAAATTGAACACAGGTTCACCAGCTTTATAGAGTTGCTATTAGAAAAAAAAGAGCCAGACAACAGTGTTTGTGTTATTAGTTATTACACCAATATCAGAAAAATACATCGTCCGAGATGTTAAAACAAGTCATTAGCCTGGAAAATCCATGTTCCAAAATGTATTATACAGCTTCCATATTGAGTTTTTGCCATTATGAAAGAACGAGCAGGATTCTACATCATGACCAGCTGTTTAAATTATAAATAGAGATCATTCTGATCCATTTAATGTGAGCGTGATTCAACGGAAACGCAGTAGCATGCAACATAAAACAGTAAAGTCCTTAAAACTGCTGCATCTACTTTGTATGGCATATTCTTCCTAATTATGGAATTACAGTGCATCCTTTGCTTGCATTGTTGTGGTTAGACATATTTACATACGGCTCTATTTAAAGATGCATTTTCACAAATTTGCAGCACTTGTATATTTCTAAAAATCCTTAGCACATGAGTAGATGTCCTCCTCCCTGTTTATTTCAAGGTTCTTAAAATAATACAGTATACTGTATGTCTTATTATGGAACAAGTCCCTGCATGACCTCTGTCCTCTCCTCGTGTGCTCCGTCTTTACCTTCATCTGAGTGAACGGGCGAGGAGATTATTCTAAAGCATTTTGTTGCACTATAAGCTCTTCCTGACATCTGTGCAAAAAGATTTAATTCGAAGCAGCGAGGACACAGAAAGCTCTTATGCTCATGACTCCCATTATACAGTACAGTGCGCAAAACATCATATTACAGTACTGTCTGCAGTACTGAGGAATAAACTTTACACTCGCAATGATTTACACCTCATCAAATTAAAGAGCTGTGGTTAATTTTGCATCGAGGAAAACGCTGAAAATAAAGCTCAGTCTTCTCCTTTAAACTAAAACTGTGGCATGTTTATGCTAATGTCAACAAAATAAGTCACTGCACATGCATGATTTCACACTGCAACACACATTACAAACAGTCTGCCACACACACAAGGAGATCAAACTTCGGTACACTTACCTCGTCTTTAGTATATTCAAAAACTGTAAAATTTCTGAGAACTGTATCAACCTTAAGGCCCTTAAAAACCTCAAGCCTGTGAGGGGAAAGAAAAGACCATAAAGAAATTACCACACGTGAAAAATTCAGACAACATCAATAACATTCGACTGTGGTTTCACAAGAACATCATACCTTTCATACTTTCATCCATGTTTATCAGCTTCATTGGATTCATATTGATTAAAAAAAAAAAAAAAGTAAACTCCGACTGAACAAGCGCTACTGAGCACTTGCTGTATCATAAAAGAAACATTTTGGAATATGTGGGGGGAAAAAAGGAAAAGAAAGTCTACATCCCAGATATCTCTTCAGCAACTCATAACACTCTGTTTTAATCTCAGGAGCCTCGCAGAGCACCGGCATCTACCTGATACATGTTTCATTCCTGCTGGATGAAACTCTGAACGTGGATGAGATGAAAACCTGGATTAGAGTAAAGACAGGTGGACGCCGTCACGACAAATTTAATGAGTAAACAGAAGTGACGTCAAATCCAACATTTCAGGGTATTTATGGGAAGAAAAAAAAAAAAAAGGAGCCTGTTGCCAAGAGTTCAAGGACGGCATAACGCTGACAAAATCAGCAGTAACAACAACATGAGCCTGAGCTCCTGTACATGATTACTGACACACTGTATCATAGCATCATTTAAGCTGCATATATATTTAATCACAACCTGATTATAACCAGTTTACGGCTATTTCTGTCCAAAAAAAGCTCAGATAAGCAACACATAAATCACCATCTCCTACAAAAGCATTAGATAAAGCAAAACAGCACATATTTATCGTGTTCATGTTTCATCATTTAGCTGCACTGCAGTAAACTACCTGCTAAAAAGAACCTCCCACCTGAGTTTAAAAGCCAAATGATTCATGGATCCAGCTCATTTTGAAAAGGAGCTGTATCCACTGCAGTGTCGGTGCTGCGTGAACAATTAAAAGCCACCTCAGCCAAGAGTGAGCAATCAAGTCAAATCCATCCACCACATGCATTAATCGGCCAGACGAATTTCCCTGCTGGAATAGATTTGTGCGGGCGCCAAATGACACATATCAAAGATGCTACAGGCACTCATTCAGCTAAAAACAATATATAAATAAATAATCTTTTATAAAAAATGACATGGACCGTGGTGTGCCTCGCCAAAGCTCGTTTTTCATTTCAAATGAGCGTTTGCCAGATGGGGAGCATAATACAGAGAAAATCCTGAACCTGAACCTGCTCCAGCTGACACACACACACACACACACACACACACACAATCACACACACAGTCCAAAGAGTTTTGGACATGCCAGGCTTCAGCTTTAGTGGAGATTTCCCCCTCGTTCCCACGTTTCCTGCAGGTCTTACCCCAGTAGGAGATTACATGGAAGCATGCTCCGAAGCTGTAGCAGATGCTGTCCTGGTCCTCTTTGTCAGGGACCTGCCCGTGGCCCATCCTGACCCTGTAGCCCTTCTGGAAGAGCTCCCCGGTCGATTTTTTGCGCCTCCTTGTGTTGGAAATTGTCTGAGAGCGTGTGCCTCCATCGGGCCCCTTGTACACTAACATCTTAGTGGGAATCATGTCTGGAAATGACTTGCAAATGTTTCCAATGTTAAGTTCAAAATCTGCTTCACACTCCCCTCTTCACTATTCTGCATCCACCTTGTCACACATCATGTAGAAAAACTGTGAGCCTCCTCCTCCAAGAGAGAAAAAAAAAATAAAAAATTCAGGTGCTTTCATGATATTTGCACCCAACAGGTTGGCTTCAGGCACGGCTCTTTTTTCAAGAAGCATTTTCATCTGATTTACCTCAGACCTTCAATGGTATCCTCGTGGCGATCAGGCGCATTCATCGAGCTTAAAGCAAACCCTTTTCCCATCAGGATATTAGAGTGTAAGCTCCTTTAGGATTCATCCAGAGAAAGGAAGAGGCCAGGCACCGAGTCTGTCCATCAGCTGGCTTCACAATGTAACCTACATCTCATCCCCATAACCCTGCAACTGCTCTTCAACTGCTCTTGACAAACCAAATTTCATTCTCTAATCTTAGACAGGAACAGTGTGTATCTTTGCCCTGCGTTTATTGCAGAAAACAAGTCGTATGAACGGCCAGTAAAGCTGTGTATGTAAAAATGAGAAGCTTTGGCAGTCATTGTGTTTTTCTGTGGATTTAGTGATTCTGCAATAATCCTTAAATTAATCACAGCTGATGTAATAACTGCTATTGTAGTTGACGTTAAAACGAAATGCGCAGCATGACAAATGTCACTGCAGAGAGAGAGGAAAAAAGAAAAAAAACACAGCAGCTGACTGAGCTCTAAATCTGCAAAGTCCATTCAATCTGAAATGTGAATTAAAACTTCAAATATATCACTTCCGTTGTCAGCAATGCACTGCGTACATACTTAATCATTTCCATTCAAACAATGCAGGGTATATATGTTCTTTAGAGAAGTGGTTTCCATTTAAAATGAAGCACTATCAACTTGCAGTTTCCTGTCAAATGTCTATAAACTGTTAGAAATGAAATCAAAAGTATAATTTTTCCTTCTAAGAGTGTTTCATTTGAATATTTTTAGAGACATATTCAATTTTCCTGAAGACACCCACAGTGTCCAATAATTTCCGGCATGTAGCTCTAAATTCATATTAAGGTTTGAAGAAATGCCTATTTAATTTTGTACTAATTATACTGTGTCAACACAAACGTATGTTAATCTGTGAAGAATTTCCTTTAAGTTTCACTTTTTTCTTGTGGATTATTGGATCAATTTGTTTCTTCTGGAATCCAATTGTTCAAATAACATAAAAAAAAAAATCACTCTTAAGCTTAACTGGTTACAATTAGGAACCTATGCATCCAGTGACGAGGGGTCGTATGAAGACACTACTCTGATTTAAGGGGTCACAAGTCAAGAAAGTTGGGAACCACTGAACATATATAAAGTTTCCAACAATAAAACAATAATGAATGAGTTTCTTTTAAGGAAAGGTTGGAAATAGACAACTGTCTAAAAACTCAACACAACACACTAAATTCAAATAACTGTCTGTCCTGACAACCAGGTTGGGAACCAGTACTTCAGAGCATTTGCTTTTTAGGACATTTTGTTTCAGCGGACAGTTTAATACTAAAAGCCTCTTTCTGTTTTACAGAGGGAGGGAAAAGCTGCAACATGTGCTCGCCAACAAGACATGAATATCTTATCTGAAGTAGTAATGTTCTGTTTACCTCATAATAGTTGACTGAATTGCACTGGATAATTTTCTCTGTCGAGAGATAAATTTGTTGCCTTGGTGGCTGCTTGTATTTCACACCTGGAGCAGGTCAGGATTTCAGCTTCTAAATTCTGGCGTTGCACTAAAAACTGTTCTTGTGTTTAGTGCCTGCTGCATGTTGTTTTCTCGTGAAGACGTGTTGTGCTCGCAACTACACTTTTGTCATGCACCAGTGAGTGTTGGTTTGGGAGAATATCAGCACATACTGTGTGTGTATTTGTGTCAAAATGTTCAGACAGCAGGATTGGCAGATTAGCAGTTTGGATGAGCGCCGTGTGAAATATGGAGTGCTGAGGAGGGAGTTTGACAGCTGCAAGCAGACGCCGCTGAGCTGGTTGTGACCTCATCACCTGTTTCACCTCAGTTTAACTAAACACTAAATTAGTCGTTAATCCACCACCACCAATTGCTAATATGTCTGACAGAGAAAATGTTCCACTGGAATTTGCTCTAAAAATCACAGGAACTCTCAGTATACCTGTTTTTACCTTCAAAGTTTAGTTCAATAACAACTTCTGTAAATTAATCATTTTCATTTTAAAAACCAATATCCATATTGATATGAAAATGATTTAAACCTAAATTCAGTCCACAAACTATGTGCATGACAGCTTGTGTATGTGCTGCGCTCTCTCAGCGTCTGGTGTGTGACAGGAAGTGCACTGTGGATTCTGTGAGGTACAGTAAATAGAGGAATAACTCCACAGTTCAAATGAGTGGTGAGAGTCATGCATGGCTGAGCAGATAGCAAAAAGAGCAACACCTACACCTACACACAAGCAGAACAACAGAATCGCATTGCTGCACAGGAAATATGGGAAATTCAACCAAAACAGTGATTAGCACTAAAACTAATGCCAAGATTTAAAAAGAAAATCTCACAGCTGATGGGTGTGTACATTGTTTTGAGTAAACTCCATCCTCTGTCATATCTATGACAATGAAGACTAAAGCCAGCTCTCCTGCACTGTTAGGGTTTCATCATTCTAGCTTTTTTTTTTGTAATTGTCAATTTATACTGTAGTTATCTTCATAGATATTAGGTAGTATTGTTCATTCATAAATAATACAACCAATAATATTTTATACAGAAAGTCAGCATACTTGCACATTATCCAAAGAAGAAAAAAAAGAAATGGTCAGCGAGTAAGGACTGTTTCTTGGAATAAGAAGGATTGAAAATGCAACTAACAGTGATATGGACTCTGTGTGCCGATATGTGTAAGAATGTCATGACAACAGTGTTGAAAGAAAATGCCAGCGATACTCTCTCATATCCACTAGATGGCATCAGCAACCACCACTTGCTGCTACTGTTTTCACACCAGGAGTCACAGTACATCAGCCCAGGGAAAATACACAGGCACATTACGCAACTGTACTTATCAAGCTGTCATTTTGGCTCCAAAGTAGAGAGTGTTCATTGCTGAAAGATGTGCTGGTGTTGGCTACACGGCAAGTTTGTTCCTCAGCTGACAGGAGAAGAAAAAGCAGCTATAAAAAGGTGTAATGAAAAAAGAAAAAGGAAAAAAAAAAAAAAAAAAAAAGATCCCCTTTAATCCTCTAATTCCTCACAGACCTCTCCGAGTGATGAGCTTCACACATTTAGCAGATTGACTTCTATTCTAGCGCTCAAGCTCCCAACAAAGCCTATTACCTTTTTTTTTTATCCATTTGTGTACTTCTGTACGGAGCATGATTTCATTTGTGTGTTACTGCAGGTGTGCTGGAGAGCTCCACTGGAGAGGGGAAGGGCATGTGAATGACACCTGCAGCACAATGCCCACTGCCCACAACACATGGCATCCATAGAAAAATTACATTTCCATTCAAACCAACTCTCAGAAATGCCTGTTTAAATGGCACACCCTCGACAGCCATACAATATTTGATAGTGCTGTCATGCAAACAAGCAGTAGTTTGAGGAGTAAAGCTCATAAAGCTTCTGAGTCACCATGCTTTTCAGTTTTCATGCTGTACTGTAGCAGAGATTTCAATCTGATGCACCGTCTCCACGGTAATACTGAGCATCATTCGAACTTTTCATGCATGACATGCAAGGTCCGGACATAAAGTTCACTTCATGACAAAATTATCAAACTTATATGGCTCATATTCCAGGTGTGCCCACGTGAATGACCACAGTAGACCAACAAGTTCCCTTCTCTGCAGCTTGAGTGACGCGCTGAGATTATCTGGTGCGTTCATACACACAGTAAATCCACTGGGTGGCACCACGGGCTGCTGGGAAATACAAGCTAATACGACGCTTGGGTCAGTTATTCAGCCTAGGCGTGAGCAATGTGAGCATCCTTACCGAGCCAGCTCCTGTTCAGGTACACCGACACAAACACCGGAGGAACCGTGAAGAAGTCCACCACCGAGTTCACCTCCAGCCAGAACCACAGCTTGTCATTGGCAGCAATAAACTGTAGGAATAAAGGGTTGAAGATGAGATCTGCAGAGTTCAGGTAGCCTACGCGGGCAAGAACGCATATCAACAACCTAAGTTTTACTTACACGGAGGCCAAAGTACAGCAGGAAAAACACATTGAATGCCATGTCAATCTGCAACGTGAAGTCTTCGTAGAAGTTATGACAGGACTCGATGGGACTATTAGAGACAGAAAAAAATGATGTCAATGACCAAGGGCAAGAACTGACAATAAAGTGAGGAAGGTTTTGGTAAAAATGGATATTTAACAACAGTATTTCATGAAAAATAAAGTATAAAAGATGCATTCTTCTTTTCCTGAAAATGCATTTCTAAGATTCCCAAAAGAAGAGGAACAGAATTGTTCAAAAAAGTGCATAAGTTGATATTTTCCAATGGTTTTTCTGTTGAGAAAGGACATGCATTTATTGTCACACAAGCAATAACTTGTTGAGATACCTGATTAACCCTTAAATAACTGCAAAACAATCTGCCTGAGGAATGTGTCGTTTTCCAAAGTGCATCAATACATAATGAAAACGGTGCCGTTTTCCTTTCAGGCCTGCATTTCCCATCTCATAGACAGCATTTGAGTTAGTCAAAAATGATGGAAATGCAGAGCCAAGGCAGTCGTTTAAGGGTTAAATGCATGCAGGGTTCATGTCTTCTTTTATGAAATCAGGCAGCCAAAGCAAATGCTAGCAATGTAGTGAAGTCTCACCCTCAAAAAGCTTGTATCTGGCACTAAGAATTCAAATAAAGAGAAATAATTAACCACGTGAATGTGAATGTAATAGGTTAGTTTGATTGTTTAATAAAGTTCAAGACCTGGAAGCTAAAAAATATCCTCTGAAAATATTATTCACACCTGAAATGAAAACACAGGTTCACATTCAAAACTTAACAAGGTGCTGGAGAGGAAGAGTTAATTATGTTAGTGTACAACTGTGATGTGGAAAAGATGTTCGATTACGACACAAGATTTTTATGATGGAAACTTGACTGGTTGATTGTGTTAGTGCTGAAACGATTAGTCGATGGATTTTATGTTGTTTGACATAAAATTACACTACAACAATTTTGATATTCAATTCAATCGCATAAATCGCTTATTAAACCAAAACGTTTTGTGGTTTCAGCTTCTCAAAGGTTTTATCATTTAAGTTTTGAACTGTAGTTTTGCACCTTTCATTTGATTTTATTGGATATTTTACACAAAACCATGAATTGATTAAAAATGAACCGAAAAATTTATGTATAATGAAAATAATAATTAGTTGAAGCCCTAAAGCAGTGGATCCTTCACAGGGGGTCAGGACTCTGCAGAGAACAATCCTGATTAGAAAAGCAGAAAAAGAAATATTTCTGAAACACAAATTGTTTTTTGTTTCATAACAAAAATTGATCTTTTTTCTTTTCTTTTTTAATTATACGAATAAATTAATCTGAAAAGCTAGAATTAAACTTTGGCTTGTCTTCACAGTCTATGGACATATGTGACTTTTGAGGGGGGGCACAAATAGATGTTGTTTCCTTTTGCTTTTCACAAGATGAAAAGGTTTGGGATCCACTGCCCTAAAGCACAGCTTACTCCGAATCATTTTTATTCCTTATACACAGTCCATACTTCTCTGCAGCATGTTAGTGCCAAGCAAGTCACGCTCACAGTTACTTTGTTGTGATGCTCCTGTGTTCGTCCTCTACCTGCAGGATCCCTACACTCACATTCACGAACTACATTAATGCCCACCGCAAGACTCAGCAGCTACAACCACCCCCCACCCCCCCACCCCGTGCTGTTTAATACCACTCGGATTAAAGCAAATTGCTTTTGTTATGTAAAAAAAAAAATCGAAATAAACTGCCTTTGATAAAATACTGTCCTTGTGAAGTTCATGAGGTGAAATTAAAATACCTCGGGGATTATTTTGAAGCGATCTGATGCTCAGCAGTGACTCAGCTGATCTTCTGCTTGATGATCAAGAGGTCGGTGCTGTGATGAAGCAGACAGCTTCACACATCCTGAGTCTAATCGAGGCAGTATTTATAGAAATCTTCGCCAGCAGACAGCACATTACTCCAGATAGGTTGCATTGTTTTAACCCTTAAGTGTAAACTGGACTTGCCTTTCCACTGCATTTGGGTGTTGAAACATACTTATGTGAAAGGTGGTCAGAAAATTGGGTCCTAGAGCTCATGAATTTATGAAATGGCAATCTGGAGTCCAGCTGTTCATTGGTGAATACACGGAGCATGCTTTCTTTAAAGAAACATAACATTATTTGTATGTCATGTAGAGAACAAAACTGATGTGGGGATTTGACACAGTATCTCACTTACATTTGTAGAACTAGAAGTTTTTTTTAAAGAAATCTTTAAATCTATGAATTACTCATATATTCAGTAATTTACTGGCGCACAGACTTTCAATGGAAAAAAAAGGAACAAAAATGAGTTGTCAGGTTTATAGATGAGTCCATGCTGAAAATAAGGATGCCGTGTGTGTGGGGTAAGGACAGTTTAGAAGGTGCTAAAAATGTACCTGGAGTCCAGAGGTCTAACTTTTTGCATCCACCAAGCACAACGACACATATCTGGTTCATGGGAAGAGGCAAACTATAATTTCTGAAAAAGACCTTGTCATGCTTTTGGAAAGATATTTCAATAAAGAATAACACATCTGGTAATACAAAGGGAATTGGTTGATGTTTTGATGTTGAACTGCTTTTTTTCCTTCTGTTGTATCTTTGTTTTCTTCTTTACTATTCAAGTCAAGACGTACCTTTCATTAAATTGTTACATTCAGTTTTTTTTTGCATCTGCATAATCTTATTTTTCTCAAAACTTACAACAAATATAACGAAAAAAAAAAAATCTAACCAGTCTACTTTTTGGCACCTCTAAAAATAGTTTCTGCCCTCGATCACGGTAATGACACGTCAGCCTGGCAAATCCCTGTCATAGCAGGGTGACAGACCATATAGCAGAGGCAGACCTGCAGTGCTAAATAATTGAGTTACAGTATGCATGGTGTGGAAGAGGTCTAAGCCTGTTATGGATCACAAACCCTCCGTGTCCATAGTAGCTCTTGGTCTCTCTCTTCCTCATTCAATTCAGACTCACATCAAACAGGATTGACCAGCTCGCATGTAGAGACCCTTAATGTTCTTAATGGGAGTGCACATGATTCATGTGAGAGTTTATAACCTGGAACAACCCTGAACAAAAGCTGAATCCACCGAGTGTGAAAGATCACTTTAACTCAGTGTTGTTGATACGGGTCCCAATATGACATGGGTTCTTGCTGTTAAATCTTTTTGATACCTTCATTTGAGGAATATTAAGTTTTCTTGATTTAAAGGTTCCCTAATAAATTTTTTTTATTAACAACTGATCAAACGACTGTAAGTAGTGAGAAAGGGGTTGCTCCAGTTGAAGTGGCGAACCCAGAAAAAATCATCATCATATTTAGTGGCTAGCTAAAGAAGAAAGTAGCAGGTAAACGTCAGATATTTTTTCTCAGGAGTAGGTAGAGACTGAAAAACAGACGGTGAATATTAGACGTTCACCAGATGAACAGAAACAGGACTGTTGAATGATGTTGCTCTGCTTCTGCTCAACGTGTAAATACGCAACTGTTTGCTTTATACATTAATAACAGGTCAAAGTTTTGTTCTACAGATTGCTGTGCTGCCAAAATCAGTTATTGCAGACAGAGACAACTAGCTGGTGAACATACTGCAGCATTTAGCAGCTAAAGAGTGGCTTGTACAGACCAAGAACTCGCCAGGTGGCCAGAAAAACGACTTCTAACTGCTGGATGTGTAAATAAGTGTTCACTATGCCCGTGTTGTGTTCGCAAATTCTTCCACCGACCTCTAATTGGCCAGAAAAGTCACTTAATTGCAAGACAATTATATGTTGGTTTGTTTGCTTGGTGTGCAGTTTATCTGCCCCCTGGTGGTCAGAGAAATCACTTAACGAAACTCCATCATTGCTTAATATCTGATTAAAGATTAAATAAGATATAATTAAACATGACTAAGAGTCTGACTGAATATTTAGCATCAGCTTTCAATACTCTGCGCAAGTATTGACACAGTTCAGTCAAGAGTCACTGTTGAAGTTTGACACCCGACTCTGCCATAACACTGATGAAACAAGGAACAGTGTAGCACTCTCCGTGTTCATCGTGACTTACAAATGTGGAGCTGCATGGAAACAGAGGGTGCAAAGTGAGACACCGCTACTGCTTTTTGAAGCCAAACTTTCTCGGCTCCTTCATCTCTGCGCAGCTCATAGAGAGCTCTTCTCTGTGAATGTAAATGGGTCTGCGGTGTTGTCTCTCTCACTGTCTTGCTTCCAGCCAGGTCAGCCTGTCCATCATATAACAGCCTCAGCAGCCCCACAGGACTAATTACAGGGAGGGCTGTATCTGTTACAGTCTGCTACCACTTAGAAGCACGCAAGAGAGCAGCTAACTGGCTGCTCTTTGGCTTTAAGTACTGGGCTTGTTTGGTTGACAGGTAGTGAAAAACTACTGTTTGAATAATAGAAAGACCTGGAAAAGACTGAATAAAAACTGGGACAAAGAGCTTTGTAGGATGAATATGAAAATACGACTTTGAACAGGTGCTGCAGCATCATTCCTCATTGTGTATCTAACAATGCCCTTTCATACGTGTGAAAAGGTTAAAGGGAGAGGTCGAAGGTCATCCATCCTTCATCAGGTGAAAAGGTATCGGGCGCTGCGACAAGCAAGTTCTGAGAACCGGAGGCCACAGATGGCATTGGTAGGGATGTAACTCTACCTGAGCTTGTCCAGATAATGAAATGAGATCATGCTCGCAAACCACATCAGAGCAAGCCGAGCCCTCTGCTCTATGCGGTCTTATGAAATAACAAATAACCTGAATGCCTGCCACCAGGACCATGAGCCAGATTACATGAGTTTATAGCCCATTTTCTCATCTCTGCCTTAACATTACTCCCAGCGGGGAGTCTCTTTGGGCTTGATAAAAGCTTTTATCCTGGTGTATTTTGCCCTACATCTTAATGGCACATCCTGTCCAAACACCACCAGGCTGCAGTAACAGTATACTGTCGCACATGGAGCTAAAAGGGTCTTCCGCTTCCTCTAGTTTGATGAGTGATGCTGATTGTTTTGAACAGGAACTTTGGTCTTTCCTGCTTGTTTGAGAGTCTGATCCTTTCATTACAGAGATTAAGCAAACCTGGAGGGGGATTGGATAAAAGCGTCTCTCAATGAGTAAATGTAAATGTAAATAAAAAAACGGCCAACATGTTTGCGTTCCCAAATACAGTATACTGCAGTGTAAAGAGCACAAAGCACTCAATGTTATTAAGGCTCTGCTATATGAGGATTTATGAGAGTGTACTGTAGTGACCGGTTAATGGCTGAGGTTTCTGAGGCTCATCTAAGTCATACGTCTGAAACAGACAAAACCATTATATAATCTTTGCAACTGAAGAAACATCATTTTACATTTTAGTGATTTAGACTGCAATAACATGAAGAGCATAATTAGTACATTGCTATATTTCTCTGAGACAAAACTTTAATACTTTGTGTTTTTTAACGATGCTACTGTGAACTCTGAGCTTAAGGACTCAGAGGACAGGAGCGGCAGGACTTGAGACAGACTCGAGGATCTCTCTGTTAAATTTCACATTTTCATCCATCCATCTTCAGACCTGTTGTGGTTGGTTCAGTTGCTACGAGGCTTCAATGCTGCGTTGGCAGTGTTAAAATGTACACAGCCACATCTCAAGAGCAGAACTGATCTTACAGTCAAATGAGACATTTCAGCCTGCGAGCAACGTTTTCACACTGAACTCTTAGAAATGATAAAAGTAGCCTTAAAAGTACCTGTCATTCTAAATAATGATATGTTTAAAAAAAATACTTACTCAGAGGAATCTATGAAGTATATTACAAGGGCTCCGATGCTGAGAGCAAACACGAGAACCACCTGTAAAAAAGAAAAAAACAAACAGGTCAGAGCTGCAGTGACAGGAGATGTTTAATACTCAGATGCTTTGCACCATATTTGTGGGATATGGAGGAATTTACAAGAAGACATTTTTAAAACCAGGTTAGAGAACATTAAACAAGAAAAACAAATGGATCAAGGTGAAATCATCGCAGAAAAAAGACACATGAAGAGGTCATTCTGTTTTTAGGCAAACGATTCATTAATTAATTGACAGAATAATCATCAGGTAATTGATAATGAGAATAAATGTTAATTGCAGCACTAGATCTTTTAGTGTGTCTCAAGATGTGTAGCTAATGTTTCATACGTATAAATGAGCATTAACAGATCCTGGTAAATCTCATCAGCCTGTTATAATTGTGTTATAAAAAAAAAAGAGAAAAAGTCACAGTTTGGAACAGCAGTGTCACAAACAGACTCTTCAGTTACTGTATGTCTGACAGTGTAAATAAATACACAAGAGCTCGGCTCATCATGTAAATTGGCAGCGGAAGAGTGGGCGAGGTGACAGAATCCTTTCACAGACACAAACACAGACACAAACGAGGAAGGATACGGCTGAGCCTGAAGCTTCGGTGGCCACAGCGGAGCAGCATGATAATAAAAAAAAAAAAACCAGGGCATCGCTTTTGACTCTGCCACTCTGCCTTTCTGCAGCGGGGGAGGTGCTGGAGCAGACTGGGGAGGCAGGTCGCGGGGTAATAAACATGAGATCGAGGGGTGTTGGCGAACAAGGCAAGAGTCGTCAGGTGACAGCTCCGACACTGATAGAGTTTAGGTGAAACTTAATGACTGTCTCTAATGACACAAGAAATAAGACGAAACTGTGAATACAAATAGTTAAAGGAGGAATAAACACATCGAGATCTTGAGAGGACAAACAGAGCCCGAGGTGACTGCTCCTTCATTTCAGTCAGTGCTACGTGCAGGAAACCACCTGTGTCCTCACCTGACAACACTATCGCTGAGAATCACACAGTAAAGTTCCAAAAAGACTCTGCTGTCACGTTGTGTTTGTCAAACTAGAGAAGAAGATGGAAGGTTATAACAAATGGAGGGCAGAAGACAAAATCTCTGTTACCTAACTAGAGCATACTTTTTTTTTTTTTTTTACTAAGTAGGCTAAAAAGCAACTAAGCCACAACACATTTCATGAGTTTATACATTTCACATTTTGCAGTGCAGCTGTTACAAAACATGTTTTCTGCCATTTGGGTTATAAAAGACCCAGATTTTTTTAAGTCTTTAAACATAATGGTAATTTTACAGTATCGTCAATTGATACTTAAAAGTCAAAAAAAGCACAGCAGATCACTGCGAAATGTGCATCCTAATTTTCTCTTTTAAAAGCCAGTGCTAACGTAGATGAGGGCTCAACCCAGAGAGACACAGATATGAACAGAAAGGTTTCCGCCAGACAGCAGAACAAATGTTTTACATCCTGAAATACACTAGCGGGTTATCTGCGACCTTACCTGCCTACCCTTTCATCTATTTAGAAATGACACAATGGCCATCCTGAACAAGAAGCCAATGGGCATCCATAATGAATGAGCTCAGCCTAATTCATTTCCATGATGTGAAATTGTATTGTCAACCTGCAACCGCTGATGGCTCTGTAATGACAAAAAGCACCCGCATGCATTTTTAATCGACCCTTCCTCTTTGAAAGCCAGGAAATCTCTTTCTGCCTCTGACCATCCCAGTTTAGAAACTGGAAACAATGTTTGTGCAACCCTAGAAATGCTAATGCCGCCGGCAGAGGAAGATTCAGTGATGGCAGTAAATAAAACACGCTGGCTGTAACAAAGAAGCGGCGCTCACGACTGGGTTTGTCAATGAGGTGACAGCAGACCGGGGCCAGCGCTCATCATTCATCTCAGTCTCGGGATAATGATGCATCACATCTGTATCTTCAGCCACCTTCAGCCATTTGCTGGCAGATGGCTGATGGTGGGGGTGGGGTTGGGGGGCCAGTGAGCTCAGACTGACAGAGAGGACCGACCACTGGATAAGTCCCTCTGCATGATGACCCAGAGATCTGCCAAGACATACTCAGACCAATTTGCATTCATTTTTGCCAGTATGCTCTTCACTTAATGTCGACACCGATTACGAGGTAGGAGGGATAAAAGAAAATGTCCCATATTTTCTCTAAAATGTTCTAATAATAATCGTTCACTGCCAGAAAGGAAGACACTTAAGAAATCACCATGTTAAAAAGAATACATTTTTTTCATGAAACTGTCTGAGATTTACCTGACACACCAGATGTAACCAAGTTATTTGAAACAAGTCCAATGGTTTGTTACTCAGAACCATCTGAGAAGACTTTATTGGAAACTGTTTAGAAAAGGTGCTTTCAGGTGCTTTCAAAAATATTTGGCAGGTGATTGGATGAACCATCTGTCTATCACAGGCTAATTTTTTTTTTTTGCACTACCAGCAGAGCCTGTGGATAAATCAACCTCTTTCCTAAGTCAGTCGGGAGGAGAGCGAAAACATCTTTTCCATCAAGAAAAGCCTTCGGTGTTGTTCTCTGCTCTTCTTTCAAAGGAGAAATTGTTGCTGTTCTGATGTAACTGGTGCTATAGCAACATCTACGCTAACCTCTTTAGGTGCCACCATTGTTGTTAATGAACATCCATTCTTGGGGACCAAGGAGGCTTTTAATGTAATATTGGTAAAAGAAAGAAACAATAGTAGAATTTTAGCTCAGCAAGAATACAGTAAACATCACCATTAAGTTAATGTTACAGTACTGCAGTGGTTCAGTTAAAAGAATCAGGGCTCATTGAAATTCAGTTAAGGTAGAAACATGTTTTACAAATTCTGCAGTGGGAGGTTGTGTTGCTCTGTGAGCTGCTACAGTGTCTAAAAACAGGATTCACCAGAACCAGGGGTCACTTTGTTCCATAGTTCCTTAAAGCCTGTGGTCACTGTGGGATCAAAGCTCTCATTGGTGGGATGCCAGAGATTTGTATGTGCAGTCATGTGACCGTCTTTGTTTAGGTAAACGTGTCCAGTCCGAGCTCCATTTTCTCATGTGTCACATCCGGTTCATGCATCTCTTACTTTAACTCTGTGCAACTTAAATGTTTCCTGACACAGCGGTCCTTGAGGGTGACTCACTGACCCTCAGCAGATTCCCCAAAAACACAGTGCTGTTTTCCAAAATAAAATGACCTATGGATGTTGGTGAATTCCAGCCAGGCCATCTGTCTGTCCTCAAATACCACATTGATTAATAAGGTTATTGTGCACATAATGACTCTCACAAAATACAGAGCTGCACAGAGAAATAGTGCCATTATAGACTGTGATATGAATTGCACCACAAGTGAATATCCATTTCTCCTCTTCAGATTTCTTTCTTCAGAATTTGAGAACATCTTCTTAAAAAAGATGAGTGGAAGAGTGACACTCAGCCTACAAGTTTGAATCAGTGGAAATAAAATTTTATAAATCACAAGACTCAGTTATTAATTTTTTGTTTGTTTTTGTTTGTTTTGTTTTTGCTTTGGATTGTGTGTAAATCACCCCATAAAAATACAAATGACCATATCGATTACTTTACCACAAAATAACTGAATCACTTGTATTTTGATTTGATGTTCGTGCGCCTCTATTAGATTTAGAGCAGCTGTAAATGTTTGTGTAATGGACCTTGAATTGTAGGAGACACCTTGGTCATCATCGCTGTCCTCGCTAACTAGACTTTTGTTTACAGGGCTCTTGCACGGTTTATCCTTCGCCCGGGGTGTTAACAGTAAATTAGCATGTTTACAACAACAGCCATAAACGTGATGGACTGCAGCCCTGACAAACACACGGACACTGAATTGACATTTGAGAAATTTACAGTGTCATTACTATTGAAATGCAGGTCGTTTACAGCTGACAGGACATGTGTGACATGTGATGCAACTTCAGCGCTACAATCTCAAGCTATTGTTGTTGTTGTTTGACAGTTTAGTATAGGAGTATTGGCTGCCAAAGCACCATGATGACACCCACTGACCTCATTATGACCTTTTGAAGGCTCTCAACTCTATTTGGAGCATTTAGAGTACACACAGAGTGTTTGGCCAGCCCAACAAAGGGCTACACAATTTTGGCTCAAATAATAATCCTGATTATGCTGCTCGATTATTGTCAATCAGAATTACTAGACTTCGCTGATGAGTGTAAACAATTATTTAATGGCGTTTTGTGTGTTAACCTTGTGGCTATTTTGATCTAAGGCAGCACAGTCTTGACGCGCCACTAATCAATATTTGTATTTTAACAATGGATCAAATTATTTGGTATAATAATAATGCAGCTCCCCTGAGCTCTATGAAGCGCGTTAATGTTTTCCACCTCATCGTTTTGGTTCTGGTTCTGGTTTTTATAGCCCAAAAGTTTTAAACCAAATATATGCTGAAGTTACCAAGCAACAGTTCTGATGTAACTGATACTGTAGCATCTTCTACGCTAACCTCTTTAGGAACCACCATTGCTGTTAATGAACAGCTGCTTCTCGCTGTCACCACACCTAAGACACACCCGTAGCTGCCAGTAGTTCCTCCCTAACAGGACACTAATTGGTCTGAACCACTGTGTCTGGGCTACAAGTGAAAAGCTTGGAACCTGGAAAGATGGATTCTCACTTGCAAGAAATCCAGCTGCCTCGCAAGGTTAGTATGAGGTGAGAAAAAGGTCCTTAAGTCTGTCAGAGCCAGTTTAAAATAATTTGTGACAAGTCAAAGTCAATTGTCAAGTCCGTCGGGGTAAGTCTTAAGTCAAGTCATTTGAGATACATCCAAGTGAAGTCTCAAGTTATTTGAAACAAGTCGGAGCCAGGTCTCAAGTCTTGGAGGGAAAGTCCAAGCTATGAAAGAAGTGTCTGTCTTTTTTAGGTTTAAAATTGAGGCTGAATTGAGCATTGAAGGATAGATGTGTCATACATAGTACAGATTTTCTTGAAATAAGTC